CCAGAAAATTCAGGTCTACTTTGCTTCATTGTTTGACACGTTATTCAGAAAATGAGGGATAGATCTGTACTTTTGGCATGTATCAAACGTGTAAGCATGATATCCCATCTGGCTCACTGGAGTTAGATTAAAGATTTCTTAGGAGAAAAAAGGAAACTTACCATGAACAGTCCAGTGAGCGCTCAGATCCAGTAATTGGGTTATCTGCTATGAAAAGAAACCGCTATCCTGATCTCAGTGATGTTACCCAGACTGTTTGTCAAGTTTAAGAAGAGAGATAAATAAAATATAAACCATTTGTTTTTCAGAAAAATAGGCACTCTCAGCCCAAAGCACCCGGCAAGAGTGCTGCCCAAAGGATGATTTGTTTCAAAGCAAAGGAACAGGGTTTGGGCTTGGAAGAGGTCATACAAGTACACAAGGAGAATTGGTAAGAGCAGAGCAGCTAGAATGTGATTTTATTCGTTTTGGACTTAAAATCCTGAAAACCTGCATGGAGCTGGTGTCTGAAGTCTACAGGTGCTTCAGTCTGTACCGTTGAAGTTGTCTTTGCAGTCCCTGGAGGTCTTCAGTCTGTTGGCATCTTCCTCTCAACCAAACAAAGCATTACAGACGGTCAAAATGCATTTCCTCACTTATCGCTAGCTTGGTTTAATGCAGTAGGTGTGCTCTGAGAATGCATTAACTTTTGAAGCTTGAGGAGGTTTCTGTGTTCTTTCAAACCACTACTGAACTTACCAGTAAAACGTCTCTTAATTCTTTCTAAAGTTGGAGGTTTACACCAATGCATCGCTCATCTCGTGTTTTTTTAATTGATGTGGAAAATCTGAAGTCATAAAATCTTGTGTGACTACAGGACATCAGGATAAAACAGCAGGTAAGAAAACTTTGATAATTTGGTGTTTGAGATACAGATCTATATAACTAAAAATTGCCCAGGATTTAACTGGGCCTCTGTTGACCATTAACAACTCTGTCTTTCTAACATTCACAATTAAAATTTTAAAGACAGCCAGCTCTAGCTTATCTTTGCTGCCTGTCTTTAAATGCAGAGTGAACAGGTTTCAAGCTGACTGTCACAATACGTAGCTTGACCCAAACCTCTGATTTTAGCAGTCTTTGAGACAATTACTGCGCCTCAGTTGCAGGGTGGAACAACCTCTAATGGGGTGCATATAGAGAGACCTGGCACTTGGATTGGAGGCAGGTGCTACTCTTGCGTCTTTTCTCCATGAGGACAGAGTAGGATGATGGAGGCTGCTGTCATGAGTGCTCTTCTGCTCAGGGTTGTCTTCTCGTGACTCATCTGACTCTTACTAGGGTGGTTTATTGTCATCTCCAACTCTGTTAAAACCAATGTTTTGACGTCCAAGTCAAGGGTAATTTACTGAAGGAAGCCTAGGGAAGCTTTTCACCAGAACTAATGGGGTTTATTTAAAGCACTCGCTAGTGACTTAATGACAGGGCTCTGATGAGAGGCAAGGTGACCGTATAGAATGGAACCTGGCAACAAAATTTTGTGTTGGTCCCTTCCATTGCTCTCACTTTGATATCAGCAAATTCAGTAAATGCACACCGCCATTGGTCAGGGTACCTGTAACTAACTTGTGAAGAATCTTTATTTTAAATCTTGAGAAAAAGTCTTTTTAAAACATTGAATTATAAGCTGGCAAGAGGTTATACAGTACATTTGATAAGTGTCCACATGTTATTTTAGCGTAATTTCTCCTGCTTGCCCTAGTATTTAAGCAAGAATTTCTTTTGGCACAGTTACCTATTTATATTAAACCCTAAGCAGGAAGGGCAGTTATAACCTACTTCATAGAAGACCTCAAGCCATATTCTCATCTCTCTCCTGAGGCTCACGTGAAAATGGCAGATCTGCTCTGTCCTGGCATGGCTGTATGGGGGCTGCCTGAAAGGGCGGGTGCCGCAGGAGCTGGAGAAGGATCATTGCAACAGAACCACTGACCGACCTCGCCTCATCTCTTCAGAAACACGGAGAGAAGGTGACGACATACAGTGTCATGGCACAACCAGCTGCAGAGGTGAGTGACTGACTGAGAGCTGTAGCAGCTCTTTCAGAGCCAGGCTTGCAAAGACTTGCCCTCGAGAAGGGCAACGAAGCTGGTGAGGGGTCTGGAGCACAGGTCTTCTGAGGAGCGGCTGAGGGAACTGGGGTTGTTCAGTCTGGAGAAGAGGAGGCCGAGGGGAGACCTTATCGCTCTCTACAACTACCTGAAAGGGGCTTGTGGTGAGGTGGGTGTTGGTCTCTTCTCCCAAGTAACTAGTGAGAGGACGAGAGGAAATGGCCTCAAGTTGTGCCAGGGGAGGTTTAGATTGGATATTGGGGAAAAATTTCTTTACTGAGAGAGTGGTCAAGCATTGGAACAGGCTGCCCAGGGAGGTGGTGGAGTCACAATCACGGAAAGTGTTCAAAAAATGTGTGGCTGTGGCACTTCGGGACATGGTTTGGGGGGCATGGTGGTGTTGGGTTGCCAGTTGGACTTGATGATCTTAAAGGTCCTTTCCAACCGTAGTGATTCTGTGACTACTCCAGTGTTCAAAGCTCCACAGTGCTACTTGTTTGATTGTAACAATGAAATACAGTCACAAAACACAGAGACCCCAAATCCTCCTCATGTCACCTCAGTACTTCTGTTTAGTAGTAATTCTGCTGAATGCTGAGTTCTAAGGGCCAAAAAACTCTTTCAGTCTTACATTGATAGGAGATAGATTTCAATTTTAACCAGGGAGTCTCAATCTCAGAGCGCTGTAAGTAATGTGGTAGATCCACTGTAGATGAACCAGACCAAAACGTGTTAAACTTGTTAGATGCCAAAGAATATAACAGTTTGTGCAGGTTTGGTTGTGTGTGGAACTATGGTAGCTGCTGCTTCTTGTAAAATGGACATTTTGTATTGAGGAAACTCTTACATTACCTGTGAAACTGTTCTTAAAAAAAGCGAGGCTGAAAACTGTCATTCTTCCTTTTGAATAATACATATAATGCTCTCGTCATATTACAGTGAAATGTACTTTTATTTCTAAATTTGGTAGCAAGAGCTAAGTGCTTAGCGACTTCATTTTGGTTGAATTGTCATCTTTTTCACTGCAATAAAAATGAGACTTTTGGTCTAGAAATAAAAACAAGATTTCCAGTTAGTAGCAAGTAACAGCCTCCTTTACTGATTACTTTAAAATAAGGACAAGGCATCTCAACTATTCACAAATACTTCTGACATATTACAAAGTAATATAAAAGAGAAAAAAATCATTATCATATTTGAAGCAAAATAGTTTTAAAATGTTTACAAATACATTGTTTTTTCCTTTTCAAAATGTTTGTCGATACAGTTTTCCAGGAAACTATCTGTTTGGTCCAATAAACTTCTGCTATACATATGGTGCTTTGTCCTGGGGGACAAACTGGAAAAATATTTTCAAAACAGTACTTTGTCACAAACAGGGGCTTGGAAAATGGCCTCTAACAGTCTTGCAGTTTTGTCTCTGTGGACTTTGTGTAAGGCTTAACATGAATCTTTTTGTAACATGATGTGAAGCTGACATTTATTTTACTTTGTTTTTAAGTATTTAAAAGATCCAAGACCTATTTCTTCTATATATATATATATTTGTGAAGCTTTAAGGCTGCATCACTAAAAACATTTTATCAATCTTTTTGTCACTTCCTTAAATGTCACAATTACTTTGTCAAATTCAGAATTGTTAGCAGCCATGATGATGATTTAAAAAATCCCAAACCAAACAGATGAATTCCCTGGGAAACTGCACACCACAGGCATGATATGTAATTAAAAAATTAGTCCAAAGTTCTGATAAATATTTAGTTCCAGCTAGAGCTAATAGTTGTTGTAGTTCTAAAGAGTAAAATGTTTATTATATACAGAAGGGTTGGATGGAATATGGACATTTGACAAAGATCACTTCAAGGCATTTCACGGTCTGAGCTGTTCTTACAGCATTAAGGCAGCTGCCCTTTTGGCTTATGCGTAGGCTCGTACCACCTGGGGGACGGGAATATTCCTGCTAGTGTCAAGGGGCTCGATCTTAGAAGATGCAAGTTGTCTTCTCCAGGCTGCTCAGTCTTCAACTGAACCAGGAGTTTCTTGCAGGATTGAGAGCCCTTTCGGTCTTACTCCTGAGCTCGATGCAAACTTGTACAGCATTATCAGATGCCAGTTTACATCAGGTAAGGGTTTGGTCTTTTGCCTTCAGCGTATTACAACATGAAAAACTGCACCAGCATTTTTCAATGAGCACCATTAAATGACTTTGGTAACGTATCTATCGGCACGACCAGCGGCATCAGAGAATATGCTGAACTCCTGTCTTGTACAATAAGAAAGCACAGCTGCCAATTACCTTGCAACTAGAGTCTGTAAATATTAAAAACATAAATATGTTAATAACCATACACATATACACAAAACACAGCAGTAGCAATATTACAGGATGCAGTGCCTACTCTATATAACTGCTTTTTGTTAACACAGATACCACACCAAAATAAATGCCGCGTAATATGAAACAAACCCTTCTTCAAAGGTCAATAGCAGTAAACCAAAGTTCAGGTCCAGGCTTCTGGTAATCTGAGGTGACAACCTATACCAATCCCACTGTCTGTCAAATCTAATCAATGAAAGAGTAGCACTATGGGAAGATAATGACTATCAGTTAACACTAACACTTACTGAGCTGGAGTTTTCTTTTCCCACCATTTGTAATTAATTCTCCCTTTTTCACAAGTGCTCTTAGTGTGAGCGCCCACCAGGCTTAACAGGGGACAAAGTTATTACACATGGAATATGATTTAGGGGTAAGGATTAATAGAAACAATCAGCACAGGATTGCAGTTGCTGATTCCTGGAAGGTGCTCTCCGTGGTTTTAAGTGAAGTTTCAGTGAGATTGCACTTAGCGGACCACTAAGGAGTTGCCACTCTTCTTTTTTGTGCAGTTCTGTTTCAAAGCTTGGTAGGAAGAGCATGAGAAGGGCTCGAGGAGATGACTGTGCTGGTCCCTTGTCTCTGCTAATGCTCTTGAGAGCAGCGTCCTCTCCTCAAGATAACGTCATCTAGTCCAATATCCCCAGTTCTTCCTTTCCCTTTCTCCCCTTTGAAAATAACCTGGGAAGAGAAACAGAACAATTTGAGTGCAGAAATAAAGTGAAAGGAAAGAAGCTTTTGTTGAGAGGTCTCAACAGTAAGAAAGCTCAGGCAATCCTAACTGACTCACAAAAGTCTATTTATTCTGCTCAGAATTATGGATTTTTTTTTTATTTCTGATCCTCTCCCTTCTCTACTTTTGCAGGATCTATGTGACGAACCAGCAGTTCAGGGCAGAGTTGCTCCAGTTGCACCACCTGCTGAGGTGAGATGAACTTCCACCTAAGAGAATTTTGGGCATTTTCTACATACTGTCTCTGCACTGTTTTCGTTGTCCCTCATGGAAAACACATAAAATCTTCTGTATTCTGAAAAATGTTGTCTAATAGAGGAGCTTTTAATTGCTAAAGCAGCTTGCAGCTGCCTTAGTTGTGGGAAACTAGCAACACCCATCTTTTCTTTAACAAATTCTGGCTCCTGCAGGCTCATGGTAATCTACAGAAGCACTGGCCCCTCGCAAAATGGCAGCGGAAGTTTGGGCATTGGATTTAAGCAGATCATTAGCAGTCTAGATTTAGCCTGAGTGGGAGAAATTCAACAAATATAAAGCTTGACTACAGAAGGACTGGATCGTAAATCAGAGGTGATATACACAGAATGGCCAGCTGAATTTAAGAAACACTTCCCATAACTCAGCCTTGCTCACCTGTGCTACTCATGTAGATTCAGAAGCCTGAACTGTTTAATTCAGTGAGTGGTTTTGACCGTGGCTTAAATATTATGCGAAGCCTACAGCAAACCTTTTTAAGAGTCTGCTGTTATCACTGAGCTGGAAAGAGTTAATACAGATTCACAGATCAGAAATTTGGATGCTTGCTGAAAGCACACTTTCAAATAACGAGTAGGAACAGAGAAACTTTGTGTTGAATATACAGGATTTTTTTTAGAAATGGAAGAATTTAGAAATTTTTTTAATTCATTTTTTCAACATAGAGTTGAATAATTTTATTAGAAACGATTTATTTGGGGTGTGTTTTAGAAATAATCTACACAGAGCTTATTCATTAGGAAGCGTGATGAAGGATTCTCCTCAGGTTTCCAGTAGGCCCCCCTACAATTGCTAGCGTTCAGTTGCCTTTGGTTTTTAATTAGCTAGAAAATAAAGCTTCTGTATTTCCACCTGATTTCTCTGTGCAGAGGCTGTCGCTGCTTACCTAGAGTTTTCTCTCATTTCCCTGATCCTTGGAATAAATGTCACAGTGGTTCCGGGCTGCAGCCCAGGCTCCCCATGCTGGCTGGAGAAGATCCCAAACCGGACTGCTCCGTACGCTGCCGTGAGGCAGCCCTGGCCTGCGGACCAGCGATGGGTTAGGGTCGGCAAGCCACCCCAACAGCTACTGCTGAGGTGGTCAAGAGGGGCAGGGACAGCGCAAAGGGGAACTGCTGGTCTTGTTTGCTGGCTCTAAAACTTATTTGCTTTTCTGCCGGACAGTATGTTAGCGATACACACGTAGTTAATGAACTGCTCTGTAAGGTGAGACAGACCCGAGGATTGCAAGAAGTGCTGAACTTGGTGGAAAAGGGTGAGAATGGGGCACATATATTGTTCACCCGCTATAAACTTCCATATTCTCGGCCTGATATTCATTTACAGCTAACAGAAGGTCAGGTGTATTATTTACTTTTCCTGAGGTAAAGTTTTCAGAAAATTAACTGCACTAGTTACAGCCTTAACATTAATTTTGGAACCACATACTGTGTGTGTGGTGTAGCCTGCTCCCACCGTGAACATTGTGATGTATGAGATTTTTTTTAGACCACCTGATGGAAGTCAGAGCAAAACAGGCCCTGAAGCAGCCAAGCCCCTTCTCAGATCTGAAATAGAAACCATCTTCAAAGCTAACCAGAGGTTGAAGAAAAATGCTGAGCTTTTGATACATCAGTTTATCACCCAATGTTTCTGAGATTTGCAGGCATTAAAAGAGTCTCCATGGCACTTCAGACAGCTTCCTCCGATTGCACTAAGACGATCTGTGTTATTGGCATAGTTAGGTCATCATTTACCTTCTTGTCCAGATTAGCTGCAGGTATGCTGAAGAGTGTAAAACCATGTGAGATTGCACATGTAACCTCCCTGCATTATCAAAAATTACTTATTTTCAATATCTTTGCCCTGGCTTAGCCACTTATTAATCCGTCGGGCATGATTCTTCCTATTTCATGGCACTGTTATTATTTAAAGCATTGTTTATGAGGAATCTTGATACAGGCTTTTCGGAAATCCATGTACAGCATGCCATTGCTCATTAGACTGCTCTTTCCTACATGATGATTCCCTAAAAACAGGCTCTACGAGGCAGCTCAATAAGGCTATTTTGTAGTTTCCTACGTGTCTATTGCTGTAACTGGGCTGTTTTTGCAAAAAAATTAATTTGACAAAATGCACAATGACGGTTTTACCCTTAACGTGATTCCATTGGCAGGGATCAAAGAAGTAAAACACAAGCTGAAATTGGGCCCAGAAAACAAACCGTCCGGCTCTACCCCATCTAAATGTCTCCAGCTTCTTGTGCGAAAAAACCCAAAAGGCAGCACATGCATTGGTACTTACGCTCTTGATGCCTACTCCTCGTAAATTTATGTGTGTCTCTCTCCAGCCATGGCCACCAGTTCTTCCCCAAATGGCTGGTCCATGAGCACCGTTTTTCCTTACGAAGACCTGGAGGGCACCAGAATGCAGTCCGGGCACCTTATGCCTGAACGACAGACACAAGTCGCCAGCCTGAGCCGCGTGACCCAGGGGCAGAATGAGATGTGCTGCTCTTCCCTCTTTGCCTTTGGGGTTGGAGACGGTAAGATACTGTCCCCCTGCAAAAGAAAAAGCAGTTAGGTTGGTTTTTTTTAAATTCTGCTATGTTGCAGGACCAAATGCACACGAGTAATTTAAAAAAATGAAAAAATAAAAAAAGGGCTCCACAAGGTCCAGTGAGTCTTAAATAAGGCATGTAACTGCTGGAATGTGAACCAGAACTGATGCAGCTGCCTCCTGCTCGGCAAGATTCACAGTGCTGCTCTTCCGTGTACATTAGTACCAGGTTAGGTCTTGCCCATCTAACTTCTTTTTTTACAAAGCAAATAATACCCCTTTTGAAAAATGAAAATTTCATATATTCCTTCATTTCTGACAACTCCTTGGTCACTGCATGATTTTAAACCCACAGCGACATGAAAGCTACTGTGTACATTTAAGCACTTTGTAAGCTGCAGTTTTTTGCTATCAGATAGATGAATGAGAAGGCCAGCATAAATGTTCTCATGTAACTGAGCTACACTTCTGTCCCATGTCTTTTGTTTGGGAAATGTGTTAACAGGTTAAGTCTCAAAGCGTATCCATTTGCAAACATGGAGAGTCTTTTTATTTAACCGTAATTTAAACTCTTAGTCTGGATTAGAGACAGAAAGCTAGAAACAGTAATGATTTTTAAACGACTGTTAACTTGACATACTCCCTGAAGTCTTCTGTAACAGTAGTAAGTTGCCAGTGAACATACATATTTAATTCAAAACCCTATTATTATCTCTGATCATGTATGAAGTAAAGGGTCCTTCACAAAAACACCTAGTATGTGAAAAGTAAAGGACCTTAGGTACAGCAACATCCATTAAACCTTAAAAAAAAAAAGAGGCACATACTTCCGTAAGTCCCACATATCCTTTCCCATCGGCACTCAGAACTAAATAAATGAGACTTCAAATCTTGGAGAAAACACACACCTGTAATTTTTTTGGTACTTTTCATTAAAATTTTTGCAAGCTGGATGATAACTTTAAAATTTGAAATGACCAAAGGGATGAGGGCTTACTTCTAAAAAATAAATTAAAAAAAAAATTCTTATCTTACTCTGAATCTTTTTCTTTTTAAAATGGGATCAGGTTTTAAAAAAATTTTTCAGTCAAAAAATCCAAGTTTAATGAACTTACGGTAAAGGTGGCATTTAAGCTCCTTAGTTGAAACCAATGATGTAGAAATATTGGGGGTTTGTAATATTGTTGACATACCCAGTCTTTACTTAATTATACAATAGAAAAATATTTTTCATTTAAATTGTCACCCTGCTAATACTCAACCAGAGCTTTATTTTTTTTAAAGCTCATTCATGAAAGCCACGAGATTTAATGAAAACATAGCAGGGCTTGTCACACACTTAACAGGAAAGACAACCTTGTCTCCAATTCACTCCTACTGAGGTTTTTAAGCTCTCTGGTCTCAATGAGATTTAACAAAGCAAAGCATTATGCTGCTGTCTGGGGACCCAGATCTGCATTTGGCATCAAGTGGGATCCAAGGATCTGTTTAAGTTTTTTGTTGGTTTTGGGGGTTTTTTTTAATGCACTGTTTTTGCATCAAGGCCACTAACTCCTAAAATATAAGCATAACAGTTTCAGTAAGTGCACCTGTATGTTGTAGATACAATTATATCACTGTAAAAGTACTGACTTGACTCATTAACTGCCTCTGCATCAGATAGTCACAGTGACTGAACCCAATCGACAGGAAACAGATTTAGGTAAGCACAAAGCCAACGTATCTGTAGGCAAGCCCCTACAGGAAAAGGTCCCCTCAAATCAGAATTTTCAGCATCCAGATAAGCTTATAAGGCTTCAGGGTGGCACCTTTCAAAATGCAGATTCTGATAAACCAATAAACAGCAAACTTCGAAAGGTGAAAGCAAACACTCAGGAACAAGCTGTGAAAATAAATCTCTGCAACAAGGTATTCCAGACAGGAGGGAGTGGGTGGGTGACTTCAAGGGACTAGTTTGAACAGGTTATGTCAACAGCAGCAGAACATACCCAGGAAACAAAAAGCTGACATTGTCCCTGACAGGGAAGCAAGGCAGGAGGAAAAAAGTTTAAAAAAAAAAAAAAGCAGTTAAAAATCATACTTCTGGAACTTAGTATGCATGAACACTGATTTTTGAGTACAGATAATGAATATGCTTTAAGTGACTGACTTTCTCGGAAACAAAGCGGTTTTAAATCCATTGTTTCAAAAAGATGTTCAGATTATGTGTGATCTTTTTTAAAATACCAGTCTGCAAGCAGGAGACAGCTACCTGTTTTCTCAGGAGGAAGGAGCTCTGCTGTCCGATTCACTCATGAATTCGTGAGACTTTTTAAGTGTCAGAAGGGGCGTGCAAAATACTAGAGCACACCTGTGGGAGGGGAGGGGGCCTGCCCAGCAGTGGAGACAGCGTTCCTACTCAGCCAGCTGAACAGCCTGCAAACGGCGCCAGGTCACCTGCTGCGGTGGCAAATGGCTGTCTCGTCACTGGCAGCGTAAGGACAGGCATTTATGTTGAGGTGGCGCAGAGGGAGAATGGCTCTCGGTGCCCTCACCCTCCCCTCAACTTAACCTGTAACATTTTGCTGCCTGAGAGCACGTTTCCTTCCGAAGTCTGCCATCCCCTCACAGAATGTAAGCATTGTGCGCTTCAAAGGCTGCTCTCGCGGGTATGAAGTAATCCCGTCATTACGGGGAGCCGGAGCTGCGTGTCTAATCCCCGGCGCTGGGGGAAGGGGACCAGGCAAGGACAGCCAGCCTCTCAGTGCCGTACAGTAAAATCAGTGGGGGACAGAACAGGACGAACCGCCAGCGCTGCGGCTGTGCGGTGCTGCTGGGACTGCGCACCAGGAGAGCTGTGCGAGCGGAAGGGCTTGCTGCTTCAGCTGCCCACGCCGGTCTCCTCCGATCCTACAAGCGGCTGGTGCCCGCTCCCCTCTAATACTCATTGCAAGGGCACTTTTTACCATCCCAGATGTACCCATTTTCAGAAGCCTCTGCATACTAGCACCTAACTTGTCCTCCTTCCAGTTACTTAGCAGTTTTCCTATATACAGGTTGCGGTAACTTAAGAGTAAAATTCAATAAAATCAAACTGAGAGGTTAAACTAGAACATTATATTTGGCAGCAGAACAAAGACTACTTCCAGCGCTTTCTATAATTTTGCTAGTAATATGGAAATAATTATGTTTGCGTGGTGGTTTGAAAAATACACTTTGTTTCCCCATAAATAAAAGTTGTTCTCTAGTCCACATTTTTGTTCTTTCTGATTCTTTTAAGGCAGATAATCTTTTACTGAATACATTTACCGCTCCTTCAGAGACATTCCCATTGTAAAGATACCAGCTATGATAAAAGTGCAAGTTCTCAACTGCTCTTTCATGTTGGGAATCCTCAGGTTTGATTTTTATACACAGAAAGAGGCGTGGGTGCGAATTATATTCTGGAACTAAAGGGAACATCACGATGCGAGAATTGTCATCAACCTCAAGCCTGGGTGGTTCTTCCAACTACGGGATGCAATGGTACACACGTATCTTACCTGATGCATCTTTCACTGGTTCCCAGTGCAAGTCATCATCTTTGTCCTTCATCCACCCGCACAGTCCGCTATCAAAATTACAGCTGTGTACCAGCACACCTGGGCAGAACAGAGCAGAAGAGGGGAAAAAAAAAATTATTTGGGTTGTTTTCGTTGGGGAACTACAGCCATTTCCCTTGTGGCTGACACTGGCAAGCAAATAGGAAAATTAAATGCAGCAGAAGGAGCACTAGAAAAAGAATCTTCAAAAATACTAAAACAATAAAAGGGATGTGAGTGTTGTTATTAACAATTCGCACTATTTTTGTGCTAAATCTTTTGGGAAACAAAACTATAAAGGTTCACTTAGGTTGTGGCATTTTTCTTTTTTATCTTTTTTCAAAGCATGGTTTAAACAAGGGGCATAAGGTACAGGAGTCCTGTAAAAATGTATGAAAACCCAAGAAATCTCAAAAAATCCTAAACCCTAGGCCCCAAACAGGAGATGTGATCTTTACCTGGGTCATCATTTGCTTCAAATTCATCAGCCGTAATCCCTCTTTCAATTTCAAGTATTTCAAACAGATTATTGCTCACTCCAGGCTGGCGTGGAACTGTGAGGAAAAGTAGGTTTTAGAAACGAATGAGATAAAGGTAGTTAAGTGACCTACTTCCTTATCTTTAATAAAAAACAGCAGAGCAGCTCTGGGCATTGTGCTTTTCTTGGAGAATTCAAGATATTTAATTATATTTCACATGAAGATTCATAAACTTTATGCCTACATGATTTCTGATTTATGTTGTAACATTTATCTGAGCTCTCTAAAAGGTGGTTCCAGATCTGCTAAAGGCTCTTCAAATGAAAGCTCCTTTTTAACTGGGGGGGGGGGGGGTGTGTGAAGGTAAAATAAGCTTTAACCTTGAAGCACACTACTCCCCTCCAAATGTACTTTTAAAAAATACATTTCTGAATAAAACAAAGCCACATTCAAGTCCTTGCTCAAACCTTCCCCTCTACTCGCCTTCCAGAGGTGTTTATGGGAGAATCTCAACAGGAGGCACTGGTACTTGGCCCCACACGCACCTCACCTTGGAAAGGCAGCTGAAGGTGCCTCCATCTGCAAAGGGTTAGCGCTCCCGAAACAATTACCAGGATTATACCGAGAGCTGAAAAGTGCTCTAGGTGCGGTTTCATTAGCCCTCACAGTGGAGTTCGGCCTCGCGTTACCAGCGCACTGCAGGCTGCGGCTCCCCGTGGAACGTGGCAGTGCCCACGCATGAGGCGCATCTATGCTGCACCCCCAGGGCCATCCCCTTGCCCTTCCTCTTCTTGCTAAGGAAAAAAAGATACTGTTTGTTTCCCGTGCTATGAAGAACAAGTCAGCAATTTGCTTCAGAACTGCTGAGCGCAGCGTACACATGTACTGTAGCTGCTAGTCAGGTATGGACACGCAGCCTCTTCTTGAAGTGTCTTTACATCTGCCACATCCACACGGCACAGGGGTGGAAAGAGGCCACCCAGGAAAGAGGGAGCAGACGGAAAAGCCAGGTGCCCCCTCCCTGCGCTGCAGGACTCCTCCAGCCTGCGAGGAACCTGACAGTGCCGTCACCCTCGGGTGCCCACGCTCTACCACCAGCGATGGGATGCCCACATCCTCTTCTCATCCAGGTTAACCTTGAACTTGACACTTTGCACCTCCCTGTCTTCCTGTTCTTCCCCCATGCCTTAAGAAAAATTTAATTTAGGGATGAAAGGCTCAGACCACAGACAGGTAGTTACAGGGCTCTGAATGAACACTGTCGTGGAGCATTGAGGAAACCCAGTGCCGTGCTCTCAGATTTGTAGGGTACTCAGGGGTCACAGTCTCGAGGTATGTGCTTGCCCCGTGGATCCCCTTCCCAGTTCCCCATAGCTCTTGTTTATGGAAAACACCGCAAGAAATATTAGGAATTTATTTTCCTAACTACTTCAGTTTACTTACTAAAATACCACTTCTAATGCACTGCTATTTTATACAAGTTCGAGTTACATCTGTGCACACATACAAGCATTCTCCTAATTAAAGTTGATACATTTGCCCACAATTAAAGCTCTCAAAAAATATTTCTTCAAAACTTTTCTCTAAAGTCCACTCTAAACACTGTTGTTATGAACTTCTAGAAGAACACTCGTTGCAGAGCTTTAAACCAGTCGCTTAAGTGCTGAGACCTAATTAAAGGAATGTGCACTCAATATGAAACAAGAGTTACCATAAGAGATGCAGGATTCTAAATACGATCCATGTGCACACTTCTTTTCGCTATGACAACTAATATGTTGAGTGGTGATCCTGGGAGAAAGTATTTGGCACAATTATTTTCTGCAAGTTTTCCAAGCCCTTTCTGTGTACTTTATATAGCATATCAGTGTGCTTTTCACTTAACTTCAATGGTTTGATAAAGCTTGTTAAATATAAACTTGGCTTCTTTTTCTCAGAGAATTTTATAAGCTCCAAGTGAGCCAATACATCCACAGCACCATATTCTCAAAGTTCATGAGCTAAGTTCTTCATCGATCCCTGAATGTGGGAGCATTTAATAACTGCATAAGACTGATTTCTTTTCAGCTTTTTAATCCTTTGGGAAAACAGTAGGAGGTTTTTTTTTTTCATTTACTTGCTAACTGGTGAGTTTGGGAGTATACGAGATAGTGTGTACATATGTCAGGTTATTTGTAATTACGGAATAATCACTGTTTTGGTGTAACAAAACCAAAACTAAACATGGAGTGCAGCTTTGTGTTATTAGTAATTGTTATTATTATTAATAATACAGCATTCTGCCTTACGACAAACACTGCGTTCTTATGCAATTTCATTCCACGCAATAATCATGATCAGGCTTCCCGCTTGTTAGCAACAACAACAAAGGGACAAAGATTTTTTGACTGAATAGTTACAACTGAAATTGTTAAATTCCACTTCCAAAAAAACCCACAAGTGATGAGATCTCATGCAGAACTAGTAGAAAATAGCTAAAAGGAAGGGTAGTCCAGAGGTCAGTCAGACTTCATAAACAAGAATACGGCCTGTTTTTCTGCAGGGGAGACTTGATATATGCTGGGCTAAAAAGAAGGGGCAACGGAGAGGTACACAGAATGACAGAATGGCAGGGGTTGGAAGGGACCTCTGAAGATCATCTGGTCCAACCCCGCTGCCAAGGCAGGATCACCCAGGGCAGGCTGCACAGGAACGCGTCCAGTCGGGTTTTGAAGGTCTCCAGAGAAGGAGACTCCACAACCTCTCTGGGCAGCCTGTGCCAGTGCTCCGTCACCCTCACAGTAAAGAAGTTTTTCCTCATGTTGAGGTGGAACTTCCTGTGCTGCAGTTTGTGCCCATTGCCCCTTGTCCTGTCACTGGGCACCACTGAAAAGAGACTGGCTCCATCCTCCTGACAGCCACCCTTCAGGTATTTATAGACATTGATAAGGCCCCCTCTCAGCCTTCTCTTCTCCAGGCTAAACAGACCCAGGTCTCAGCCTTTCCTCATACGAGAGATGTTCCAGTCCCTAACTAACACTTCACCCTTCTATCTGGATCTGCAGTGTCCCAGATATGTTGCCTAAAACTCCGCAGAATTCAAATTCTGCAGTGAGAATTATTTCAGGAAGGGCTTTCACAGACTGTCCCACCCTCTACCATACTGTTTGCGTAAGGAGGGAGAGATGGTGCTAGCATGCAAGCACTCTAAAGTCCAATCTTGCATCTCTCCAGCAGTTACAAGGCTCATTAACTTTGACCTAAATCACATCTCTTATTATATATATTTCCAGAGGATTTTCTGAAAAGTAACCTGCCTGCTTTTCTATGAGCAGCTATTCAGGAGGTGCAGAGTGACAGAACTGAGTTTCAGGGAAACACAGCTAAAATAAGTAGTCTACAGAAGCTTGCGTATCAGACCTGGGGATAAAACTAGCTAGAAGATTGATGGAGGGTATGATTTGTGAGTCTCCTAGATCTTACGATTTAGCTACAGAGTACATACAGGAACAAAGTGTCTATCTTAAATGCTTAAATATTCAGACAAATACATTTTAATAGGTGCCAGAGCAGTGAAAACAAATGAAATGCTATTGGAAAAAGATGCTAATCTAATGATATCAAGGAATAAAACCCCCACCCATTCTTTCCTTTTAGCATTTCCCTTTTTTCAACAGTTTCAAGGATCACATAACTGCATTTACTGCACTAAGGACTTTTCAGTCACTAGAAGGGGGAGCTGAAAGAATCAAGTTTTAATCCAATCTTTACATTTAATAGCAGTTAGAAGAAAAGTCTCCTAATTCCAATCTCTTCAGTTCCACCAAAGGCTAAGAAGGAAAATTGCTATCTATCTAATATCTATCTAATTGCTATCTACTAAACTATCTTTTAATACAGATAAGGGTTTTTGTTCTTGCTCTGTTGCTATCTAGTATTATGCTTTGTCTTTCAGTTTGTGCTTTTAAGGCTTACCACCCAGATCCCAAGGGTAGCACAAACTCATAGTCTTATTGAGAAGTACCTTCTATTAGTTAGAAACTTTATCCATCTGAGAAAAGATTCCTCTGTCCTTCACTGTAGTTTGTATCAGTCCTGAAATAGTTAAATATTAAGCCATCGCTGCATTCCTCCGTCATTGCCATTCCCCCCATATCCATATCAGGAGAAGATTATCCCTGGTGCCAGATTCCACTGTCTGCATCTGACTAAGTGGTTCAAAGGCCAAGTGTAGGAATTCTGTTTTAAAAAATACTCATTTTTTTGTTCTCTGAAAAAGCAGCTCCCCAAAGTTACTGCAGGCACTTTCAGAAAAGAGGTAAAGCACCTAAAGAAACGCAACAACCCGATACCTTTCAAAAATCGCAAAGGCATTTAAATAACATTATCAGCATTATTATCATTTGTGCTCTTTGTCATCACTGAACAAACCAATTTCACTGGTCCTAATCTGATTTCAAGCTAAGCAGCACATTCAAAAGTGCTCTGAAGTGAAAACTTAGGACAAGCTTACTCAGTGTGTGGGATGGCAGGTTGAGTAGCGACAAAGATAGAAAATAGGGAGCAACGAGTCACCAAAGGTAAGCTCAGGAAAAGGTTAAATAATGAAGTGTTAAAATTTGAGAGATGCTTGCAGAAAACAAGTACACTTGCCCAGGCCTGTTTCTTCTCCTGATCTGGAGCAATCCTAGACCACCAGTATGTTTGCAGGATTTGGTCTAGTGCGCTAGGACATCTGTCAATGTACAGCGCACCAACTACCCCCTTGCCATGGATTGTCTAGCGGAAGTACCACCTCTTCAGATGGCCAAGCAAAGCAGTGTTTACTGTCACGCTGCTTTGAGAAAGTCTGGCTAAAGCTTCAGAGCCCACGGGGGGAAAAAAGGAAGGAAAAAGTCCGTGCATCACAAGCTAACCTAGTTTAAAACCACAACTTTAAAGATTGAGGTCTTCAGCACATTGCTAAGGGATGGAAGATCAAAACTGCCAGTCGTTGCTGGCTACAGTGCTCTCCGTGCTGGGTTTTGCCCATCCTTGTGTGATAAAACACTACCTGAACAGCCCTTGGCAACACATGGGGAAGCAGCCATCTAAGAAGACACCGTAACTCTTCTGAAGACTTCACAAAACTGAAGGTAAGTCCTACTTCATGATCTGAGTGGATCTAACATCCGATTTCCTCTGTTTTCCAAGACAATGAGTGTTACAAGATGACTGAATTGCTGCCTGCATTCTCCTGTGAGAAACAAAGGTGGCAAGAGCCAGGCTTTCTCTTCTCTTCTCTTTTCAGGCAGGGGACCACGGTGCAAATTCATTTTTGAGAACTAGCTTCTTTGCTGCCACAACTGGAGAAGCAGATGATGTGGGGAAATGAACCCAAAAGAGGCTTGGTATAAGCCAAAAGAAATTAGCTCATATCCACAACCCAGGAACACTGCAAAGATGTCTGATGTAGGTGAGATTAAAACAGCAACAGTTTTAAAGCTGAAGGAAGTAGCTGAAAAAGCCCCTTCACTGAGGAAATGCAGAGGCAAGTGAAAAATCCACAAACGTTTTTGGAGGTGGGGAAGGTTTGGCACATCCACATGGCAGATAAGCAGCTCATCAGAGGTTAGCTAAATGTTACTAGTTATTTCAGTTTAAAATTCTGTATTGTCTTAACATCGCGGTTGCTAGCATTGTGTTTGGCTGTGAGGAACGCTTTTTGAGAGGCCCTGGCTTAGGCTTGGTGGAAGCATGGCCGTCCTGAGCTTGCGGTGCCTCACCCGGAGCAGCTGCAGCCTAGCAGAGTCAGACACTGCTCTCCCACGGGCCTGGAGCAGGGGCAGGGCTGGCCAGCCGGAACATGAAGCTGAGCTCACCCGGCAGATGCCACCTGTAAGCTAACGTGAAAGGCATCTGAGCTCATGCCCTTGCATCAGCCGCTGGGCGAGAGCACGTGCGCAGCCGCGTCTGCAGCCCAGCTAACGCCCAGGAACCCAGCACCTGGCAGTGATGCTCCTGTGGTGCTGAGTGCGTGTGAACCCCCGGTGTGACGACATTTGGGGATGTATGACTACCCCGGTATCATCCTTAGAAGTGCAGTGCTCAGAGCAGGTTAGGACAGGCCGAGTCATGCCCAGCGCATCCCACTGTAGTAGTGTATGTGCCTATAACTTTTCTACCTGCTTTTCTAGATGTCCCACATGAGGAAATGTAACTTCTCCCCTACCCCACAAAAACGTGCAGTAACAGGATTCAAATAGGTGAACTAACACCTTACCCTACAAGCGATGCTTTCCGTGACAAGGCAGCACATTCTTCTGGAACAGAACTTTTTTGCACCCTACTGTAGGTCTCAAATCCTAAACAAATGCTTTTGTGCACTCACTAAGGAAATGCCTCTGGACAGAGAGAAGGTGGGAGAGGACACCAGCGACCACTACCTAGATGATTCTTTCAAAGTGGCCAGAAGAGAGAAAAAAAAACAGTGGAAAGGAGAGTGGAAAGAGATAAATGAGAGAGGAGAAAAGACACCAGCTTCATTAAGGATCACACTACTAGCACCATGCAGATTCCTACCACCTAGAGTACAGGTGGAGTACGCCTTCAGTCACACAGTTATGATCAAGTATATGTTTAGCAGGGGATTGAACAAATAATATGGGATTAAAGACACGTATCTATCGACTTGGTCTGAGGAGCCATCTATCCCTGTACTACCTACTGAGGCCAGGAACAGTTGCTTGTGCTTGACCTGCTGGAATCCTGCTGTATTGTGCACTGAAGCCTTTGAAGCTATGTATGTAGATCATGAACCTCAAAGGGTGGCAGCTGACCTAGATAAATAGATGATAAACACTTTGCAAAGATGATTTTTTCCTGTGTTTGTTATACGTACCATAAAGTAAGCTTACAGTCAGAAAACAAACTTAAAACACTTTTACTTTCTTACTTTCCAAACCCCTATATCTGAAGCATACGTATTGAAAGCATTAGCTTCAAAATGTAGCCCCTAGGGAGGACACAGAAAGACTAATTGTAAACAATAAGCTTCGTACAGATGATTGTTATGGCTTCATGAAAATAGCTCAAAACTATCCCTCTGCTTTAGAATTCCAGAGAACACTTGCAACACAAGACACCTGGGCAGCACAATGCTAGTGTAATTTCTACAGAACTCTGTGTTTTTAACTATTGGTTCCCATTAGTATTAAGTTTTGGGAGTCTTTACTGTATTTCTTTTTAGAATTTTACATAAGAATGTTTTAATATTTTTAACTGGATTGTTTAAGAATTAACCTTGAAAAAGCCAAAAGCACCCTACTCTGAGTAGTACCAGGATTTATCTTCCCAAATTCTGTCAGCTTTTGTCTCCATTTTAAATTTATCAAACAGTCTACAACAGATAAAATGTCAACAGAGAAAAAAGACCATTTTTTTAACAAGGAACACAATATTTGACTGTGTAATGACCTAAAAGAACATAGGCCAAGAAGTTACCACATAGATGCCAAAGCAACCAGAAAAAAACACACTCTGAGGCAGTAAACTCTTCCTCCTGCTACACCGCTTCAGCAGCTTTACTGTACAAGATGAAGGAGAAGGGCTGACCCAGCACACCCTCCCCGTCTCTAAAATTAGTGGCAGAACTGAAGATGAAATCAGGTGTTGAGTATTTCTTGGCAGATACGTGCAACTCTGCATGTGCTAGTAAAGTCTTCTGTGGTATGCACTAAAGCTGGCGTAGAAATGGTGCTGGAGATTTTAGAGAAGCTCTTAAAATGACATGTGTTCATGCTGTGAGAATCTTTACCATCTTCAGCTTTTCATGTATCCATTTTCATAGATGCAGTCCATAAAATTAGCCCCTATGCTATTTTTATGCGATTTTCCCATTGCTTAGTCATAAACATCCAAGACTATTTGAATTCATACAATACAGGTGACCTAACAGTCTTTAAGTAATCAGACATGGACCCATTTTCTACCATTCTTAAAACTATGCAAATATGCTGTCTAAGAGTGACTCTCAACTCACTAAATTTGAATCCATCGACCACTATGAGTTATGTCGCATTTCAATACTTTTCAATAAAACGTCTTTCGGTTCTGCAAAACTTCCATCTGAAAGGGTAATTAGATTAAGCACTTACACAGGATAATACACTCATAATTAAACACTAAATAATTTTAGGAAGAAAAAAAATGAAATTTTTGGTTGAATTGATTCAGACCTTCCTCCCCATATTTTTTTTAGGTAATAAAATAAATTATTTGTGCAGCTTTACCATCTGATAATTTTCAGTTTCGTATCTTTGTTCTCATTGATAAAGTGTTCAAAAAAACCCCACACAGTACAGTGCATGCTTTCACCTCACTGCATCTACAATTCTGTTAAATCAAAGGATTTGTAAATGTAATGTAAAATTACTTACTGAATACATCTCCTCGGGGTTTCTGAGGTTCTAGCTGGATCCTGTTGTCATCTGTAATTCCTTGGGAAGATGTAGTTTCAATGGGAACATGTGAAGGCTCTTCAGTCGTTACCAGAGGAGTTCTTTGTGGTGGTAGTGTAGGTCTTAACGTTGTAGGATGAGGTGGTGTTGGAGGTGGAGGCCTCGTCACTGGCTTCGTTACTGGCCTTGTCACTGGCACATACCTAGTGGTTGGCTTTGGTGTCAATCGAGTTGTTGGCCCAGGTGTAGGTCGAGTCGTTGGCCTGGCCACTGGCCTTTCTGTAACAATAGCAGGTACATATAGCGGTCTGAGGGGTTTCCTTGTGCCTCCAGCATCAGGAATCCTATTGGTTATTTCACTGCCTCCCTTAGGGAGCGTGCCGTTGCCCCTGAATCTATGATATGGACCAGGTGGTTCAATCATAATGTTAGGAATAACTGCAAAGAGAATCAAAATGGGACCAAAGTGGACATCTGAGTCTCTCGCTCCAGAAATTTAACAAGGTATTTCATTGTGACACAGAGTCTTTGCTGAAATAATTTCTCTTCTTTTGAATGTTTCCACTAATTAGAAACATACCTTAGCATCAGCAGTGCTGAATTACCACACCCCTTTAGATGGTACTTCTCATTACAGCAGTTTAGAGGTGATTTAGAATGACTGAAGGTGAAGAGACTTCCATCCCTGCCTCCTCCAAAGCATCAACTCTCAGAGCTGGCAAAACTTACCCAAAAGCACTGTTAGTAAAAAAGCATGGACAGGAAGGTGTGTGTTAAGCAGCCTTCTAAACTGGACAAGTTTGTTCTCGGGAGTGGATGCAAGTTTAGTCAAGACTCCAATGTTACAACCATTTTGGTCATGGATAGGCAGATACCTTTTTGCTTAAGAAAGTTATCTTTCAGACTTCTCCACTTCTTCTAAACTTTTCTCCTTGTCAATAAGCATTAATCACTTTAGAGACTGCACCTAAGCCAATAGGCTTCATTTAGATCTTTACCTTTGCTAAACACCAGGAAACTAAGTAAATGGCATTTTTTCAGCCTCCACAGAAAGGAGAAGGTGAACTGAGCACCACCTGCACCAAAGTGACAGTGCATACAGTACCATCTCCCCCAATATTTCATAAAGAAAGGACAATACATTTTCAGTTGGTTTCACAAGGGCAGTTTCTGCAGACAGGAAACTCAAGAACATCTGTTTTGTTGTTTATAATTTTCTATTTGTTAATAAGCTTTTTATATCTCACTGGAGATCTTAAAAGCCCCAATAAGAACTCTAGTCACATATTTGGTGTACAAGTGTTTCAACTATAACACATAGTTAAAATGAAGAACTACTGTTTGTTAAACAATTAATTGTTTTGACGATAGCAGGTAAAAAGGTTTTCTCTTTGGCCACCTTGTTTATTACTATTTTGAATACCCTGCGGTTTTTACACTATGGTATATTAAAATACAAAATGTACTTTAGGACTATGTACCAGTAACACATGTGAAATGTATCCACATATAACTGCAAGCACCCAGGCTGTGAAAGATCACTTTAGCCAGACCACATTACCATGACAGCTACAGCCACAGGAAACAAATCCGCAACGGTGCCGCTCTTTAAAGAGATCAGTGAGTCACCGCAGACCAGAACCCACGGATGAACACAGGGTCCTCAAAAAGATTCGGCAGATGTCACAGAGCTGCACAGTCCTGAGGGACGTCAAATGCGGGGGAGCTTCGATGGCCTATTCTCTACTAAGGGAGATGGCTGCTTCTCCCAAGAGGAAGGTGAGGAAAAAAATTTTCCAACAGGGAATTCGTCCGGAGAAATCCTCCCTCTTGGCTCTGCTCACATCTGGGGAGCAGCGGGGAGTGGATGGGGTGAGCTGCTGAAATGGGCCAGCTGCAGAGCGTACATAATAACAGGGTATGAGTAATATGTACTGTTTGACCAGACCTACCCTGCTTACTCAGTTGTTCTCATCCTGAAGCAATCTCTAGCATCAAGCTGTGAATAGGGAGAGGTGAATTGCTTTCTAATTATGAAAATGTCCCAAGGAAAGGTATTTTTACTAAGGCATGCTAAGACTCAGAAAACTCTGACTACATTCCCTGGCCCCTTATTAAATATTAAAAATAGTTAAGAGAAACTGAGCCTGATAGTGCTGTATGTCAAAATTTACAACATGGGACGCATTTACTTTCATAATTCCTTTTTAAAAAGGAGTATTACATACGTATGCAGTTTGTGCCATTGTCTCTGTATCCTTCTTTACACTTGCATTTGTAGGATCCTGGTGTATTGTAACATCGCGAAAAACTACCACACTGATGGTGGCCAAGGGAACATTCATTTATATCTGCAATAGAAAGTTACATTAAAAAATAGTTTACATCAAAGAAACTTGACCTTCTGCTTATCCCTGCAAAAACGCAAACAGTAGTACAGTTATTAGGAAAATACTATTAATTTTTTTAAATGTCATGAAACTGAAGTGCCAGTGAGAAAAGGAAGATAGATGGTCACAAATCAATGTGGCAATAAAACGTTAGGGTAAAAGGGACTATTGTGCAATTCTGGTATTGCTCAGCTTCAAAGACGGACTGTGGGTAGACTGCATGTAGTTGAGAGCATGAAGATCACAATTTTAATAACTACTTCTTAAAGATGGCATGATAAGAAAAGAAAAACTGAGTGTAGGAATATGCACATTCTTAATCACAAACTGTTTTTTCATAAAATGCTTCCTCTATTGTACATTTGTATAGATGTTTCTACATCAAGTAAAAACTGCTTGAAATGTCTTAAATGGCATTTCTATGCTTTTAGTGATGCAAGCAAAAATCTCCAAATTCCAGTGCTCTGCATAGAGATTCTTGCCAAAAAATATACTTAAACAAACAGAAGGCAATGCCTCATTATCTCTGATTCTTTATGAAGGATCATAAGCAGTTGAGGCCCACTAGCTTCCACAGGAGAACAAGTTACAAGAACAGGGGCCAAATACATGCTTTCTTTTTCACAGTCTATTTCTACAATCCACCCTTTCCTAAAATACAGATGCAGTGCAACTTAAAACAACCTGCTTCAACATTTCAGCCATAATAAGTAACCCTTCCTCTTTAAACCATTAATTTCAGTTTAGAATATGCAGCTCTATTACATGCACATAAGAATAAGTTGTTACTACCATGGCATTGGTATTTGCCTCCGATGTACATTAGATCAAAGCCTTTATGACACTTGCAAATGTAGCTTCCGAAAGTATTGACGCAGTGCCTAAATTGTGGACAGATAACTCTCCCGGTAGCACATTCATCAATATCTGTGGAAACAAAGGAACTGTATTATTCTTTATAGCAGTTAAAATACCATCTATACTATCTAAATTAAACTGGTTTCACATAATGAAAAACTAAAGAAGAATGGCCAAAGTATTTTTTATAAAGTCCATTTGGCTACAAGCTGGTCAGCCAGCAGTAATACCTGAGCACTTCTCGTTGTGCCATCTCAGTTCAGCTCTTGATTACACGCCCAAATTTTTATGGCTCCTTTGCCAGAAGCCTTTACAAATACTGTGAGTGACAAGAGATGCACTGGCATAATGATCCCTGCCTGGTTATAAAGACAGCACCTGCATTTACAGGCAAGGACTAATAATAAAAACTACCCCAGTAAATCTTTTTCTGAAACGTGCGTGAAATATTGTTCCTGTAGCACCGGTCATACATGCATGTCCCAACTACATCACCCTGCAGTAGCAAGTGGTTTGTTTTTTTAAAATCTCAGGTGTCCCTAATCCATGATCCGCCCATTGATCCTATCAGGAAATCTTCATCTGCTCAGGACTTGCTCTAAACAAAGAGAGTTCAAGCTAATGCCAGGGCTGCAGTATTTCTGCGTCTCCTCCCAGTTAGTTAGCACAGGCCAAATGCTTTTCGAGTACCCGCTCTTTGCATTCTCTTGCCCTGCAGAGTGCCTGCGCTGTAGCTGATCCCTCTTTCACAGAGATGCTGGTTACCTAAGTGACCTTAAAATGAGGTGCTGAGATATATGGCTTCCATTTGCCCTGCCAGGGGCTCCCAGCAGGATCCGAAGCAGTGATTCAGCAAGCGATGTCCAGGCAAGGACAGAGGAGTGGGAAGACATGAGTGATGCTCAGTAAACGTCTGATGCCCCACATGTCCCAGAAGCTGCTGTTCTTCACGCTGAGTAACAAGCCAGGCCGAGGCCCAGGGAGCAGACGATGCTCCCCCAACGCTGCTTTCGCTCTCTGGGAAACTCTCAGATGAGGTCGGGCTGATAGTCCAAACCTACCACTCACTTTGTAGCCCTTGGACACCGAGCTGAAGCCTGCTGAGCGCCTGAACCCTAACTCTTCACTGAGGTGGAGACCTGCCATGCACCGCTGCCACTGACGCACGCCACTCCTGATGTTTGTTGGTTATCTACAGGGCACAGTTCAAGCCTTTGCTCTGCAGCTCTATCAAGCTCTTGATCTATGGGAAAGCAAGACTTTGCTCTCCACGCAATTCTTTTCCCAAAAGGAGCACTTGAGCTGCAGGTGTCAAGAGTGCAAAACAAAGGCGAGTGATTGATGCCCTGCTGCTTGTGGAAGAGGCTTGAACAAGGCAGAGAGAAGCCCGAGTCTCATGCACAGCACAGAAAAAACGTTAGCACAAAACTGCTGATGAGTTAGGGCAGCTACCTGAGGCAGGGGAGATGCAGCCTCAAGCCCTCCAAGCTGTGTTTCCAACAGCCAAAAGAAGTGACCTCAAGTCACGAATTACCGGCTGGCTGGGCTCTCCCAGTAGCTCCTGCTGGCCCTGTCCCACTCTGCGTGAGGAATTACTGAGGCCAGCGAGGACTCAGCCCCTCGGCTCCCACGCTGCAGCCCATCAGACCGCTCCAAAGCAACAGCTCGCCTTTACTCTCAGACGGGAGCACTTCTACAACGCTGAATGAGAAGGAAAACGCGGCCAATACTGGGCACCTCTCCACATGCCTGAATCCCCCTATAAATCTGTCTCTCAGTTTGAATCTATTATTAATGCTTTAGGCTTTGAGTACATTAGTAGGAGTCTTACAAAATTCCACTGTGTTCCTTACAGTCATTTAATTAAAAGCCACAATTTTCTACTCTTTATTAAAATATTATTTCAAGGCTGCAAATTTCAGACTCTTGATTACTGTGAGTTAGTTTTTGGTTTTGTGTGTTGGGGTTTTTTTTTCATCTTTAAACCACAACTTCAAAAAGGAATTCAGCAAGAAAAAAATTAGCCACTGAATACATCTCATCGTGGCATGGATTATGTTCTTTAAAACCTAATGTAGCTTGTCCTGCCTTTCCCTCTGTACATAGTCATGTTTCTGCAAATTCCCATACAGCAAGAAGTATGTTAGATGATCAGAGCACCGCAGTGGTATTGTTTAATTTTCTAAGCAGTTATAGATCCTAAAGATACAGGACTCACCCGCTCATCACTGTTGAAAAATGACACAAAAAATAATGGGAAAAAAGTAACAGTCTACTGCTTGCATTTACTATGAGAGATGGGTAGATGCTCATTACTGGTGGGAAAACCACTTTTTGATCATATAGCTAGAAGACAGCATGCAAGTGCCTCCGATTAGTTTCCTGCAGTTCTCAAATTGTACAGTGACTGTGGCTTCTTCCAAGTCCACGGCCCTGTGCCAGTTCACACCTGGGCCCGAACAGCGTAAGGCTGTTTCCCCTTGCCTGCTGCAACACGCTGCGGCTCACGCCTGCTTCCGACGAAAACCAGGGCATGAAGGGGTGATCTGTGTTCTGGTCTCAGCCTGGTCTGCCACGGAGGCGCGTAGCGCCAGGGAGCTGCTCCAAAGGCACGTGGATACGGACCGCACCTAATGCGTGTGATGGTCAGTGTTCAACAGAGAAGCAGAATTACAAAGTCTTGCTTCTCTCCTGCTCTGAGCATGACCGTATTACCAACTCTGATTGATATATTCATTCAAGAGTCATTATTCAATTAATTAGTCAATTAATCCACATTTTCACTGAATACTTTGCTGAATTCTTTTTCAGGTCATTGTTATTTACCTTGTATGATTTACCTTCATAGTCAAATTGTTTGGTGGCTCTTTACTGATTGTCTGGAAGGAACATTTTAACAAAAGAATGATCAGCATGGGTTAAACTAAGAATAGAATAATGCCTAGAGGAATTTCCACCTGTGCTAAAAATAAGCATTACATTCCCAGCTGTCTTTCAAACTCTCCTCAAACTAGGATTTCATGAGCTGCAGCCAATGCACACTTCAATTTTTTTTACCATCATCTGCGTTTCTATTTGTACTGCAGCAATACCCAGACCCTCCCCAGAGCTGACAACCTCCGCAGCAGTGATGGGCTTGTACACATGTGAGGAAAAGGCAGACTCTTAGCTCCAAATAGCTTCAATTCTTGGAGGTATTTAACTGGTTTTAGTACAACTCAAACTTGGTAAAGAAATAACACAAAAAGAGTGCAGGTTCCAATCACTTTTTACCAAAAAAGAGGAGTAGATCATGTTATGACCCATGAAGGACAGACATCTCTTGCTGTGACTATTTTCCCTGAATTGTACAAGACTGTTCAGAAATTTTTGTGGGAAACTTTAAAAATAGGTTATGAGATCAATCTGAATGATGCACACAACTGAAATGTGGGTACACAGTTCTTCACCTTTCTGGGAAAAAAAGTGTTTTTTTTGAAAACTACACTGAAGAACTGAAAGAGCTTCATAAAACTGGTTTGAGTGCTACTCTTTAAAAGTGCATTAAAAGTGCACTTTGTTTATTTCAAAGAATGAAGTTTGCCTGAATATAAAAATGCACACTAAGAGAGATTTGCAAGTATTTTTGTACTTGGTATAATTTCCTTGAATTTATACTTAAAATCACTCATCTCACTACAGCATGGCACAAGTCTCTTCCAAAGGTCTCTGTCTGCCATAACGTCCACAGCGTGATTAACCACAATTCAATCCCTTCAGCAAATTACAATGGTGGCTTTTTTTTCTCCTGTTCCACCCATTCTTTTGCATACACAGACATGCCAATTGTGCACTTCAGAAAGCCTCTGACTTAGAGCTGAGCCTGCTCCTCACATCAGAAGATCTATAATCTGTCCCTTCCTCTGCCAACAAATTCTTGGTCAGCATAGGTCAGCCACTTGGAGAACCACCTCCCCTGTGGACAGCCATGATGCCCAAATGGATAATTAGGGCATCCACATTCTCTTACCTTCTTTCAGTGCAAGTGTTGTTACTGGTTATGGAACTGTAGCACTGCATAGGATATAAATAATAAAATCACTAGAGCATCATATCCATTCAGGATATATAGTTAATGACTAATGAAATCACACGTCACACTGTTCTTTAGACCTTAGTAGAGTGTGGCACAATACAGTCTGATTAACCATAAGCACCTTTTCCACAGTCACAAATGTGGGAGCAAAACATTTCACTTTTATACAGTCTGAATTCCCGAGTTTATTTTAACCCGGAGTTTTCACAGTATGGAAGACAGACAGCAGCTTCAATCCCATTAATATTGGGAGCATGCACAGACCTTCACCTTGTCCCAGTATAATCTCAATGATTTGCAGAAATTATCCCGCTACCCCCCAAGCCTAGGCACTTCATTGCTAGGTATGAGGGACCTCCCCGTTCCTTTTTTTATGCAGGCAGGTATTTTCAAGTCTCTGTTAGCGATAGTTTAAAATGACCCACTAACAGGAGTGGTAAAGGCTCAGGGCTTGGATGCCAAGCAGCCCTTGTGAGTTTTAAGCAGTCAATAAAACTTGCAGGACTGGAAGAAAACATTGGTGATTTCCAACACACACCACTTGAAAGCACCTGAGCAACATGCCTATCCCAATTCTCATTAGTAACGTCTTTAAGCTGTATGTATAAAGCCGTCTAAATACATCCGATAAACTCTCTTGAACTGCGTTCAGTGTAAGGATAAAAACATTTTGGAGACAGAAAATTAAATCTACATATGATCACCTACCTACGCAAGTCCTGCCATCGGGCCCTAGCTGCAGTCCCGGAGAAGGACAGCGGCAGCGTACTTCCCCTTTCAGTACATCACAGCCATACTGACAGTTTGCCATCGAGCAAGAAAGGGCATCTAGGGAAAAGTGATTGAACATACTTAGATAAAGGACTCCGATCAGTACCAGAAAATGACTAAAAACTTTGGAGAATTAAGATGTCATATAATTATGATAGAAGTGGAAAAATGCTTGTTGAATTTGACAGGTATCCATTCAGGCTTTAAAGAGCAAATGCTTATGCGGTAAATTTTTTCTTTCCACAAATTATATCTCTAAGAAAAAAAAAAAAAAAAAAAAAAGAAAAACAACACAATTAGTAGCAAGTTGCATCATGGAATGCAGCCCCCATGAGGAATATAAAGCCCAGTATGTACTATAAACCCTCCTGGACAGTACTGCCATTTTAAAATAGGAGTATCTGTAATTAAAGGTAATTTCTCTCCCCTTCTCTCTGTCTTAACACTCAAAATATCCACTTTTATGGGAGCAGGTAGGAACCTGATCTCCAGAGAGGTGACAGTACATTATACCAGTCAAACAACCAACATCTGCAGCTTTAATGATTTTACATTCATAAGGACATAATACAGCAGAACTGCAGGTGTCTTACTGCAATGAAAACTGCAAGCACTTGTCCTTGAAGGCCAATTAACAGTGATTTACAGCACTGAAGAAGGCTTCTGGGGAAACTTGTAATAAAACTAATAAAATCAAAATATTTGCTCTTGTTTTGTTCAGCCTAATTTCATTAGAAAAAAAGCCGCTCATCTTGTGCAACTGCCTAATTTTGAGTAAGATTAATCTTTTACTTTGGGACTCATCTTCATTTCATAAAAGTTTCCCAGGGAATCCCATGCAGGGATCTTGAGGAGCTTGAAAAAAGCAAGCAACAAGCCTTGCCGTACTCGAGCACGTTCCATCTGGCATAAGCATGTAGCCATTCAGACAGTAGCACTTGTAGCTGCCATAGGTATTCATACACCGGTGTTTGCACGGCCGTGGCTTTAGTCCACACTCATTTAGATCTGAAATGAAGGGTACAAGGGAAGGGGGTGGGAAAAGAAAACATACAAAGCGTGTGTGAAAAAACTACTAGTTCAAGTCCCTGAAGAAAGCAGGAAAAATATGGCAATCAGCTTTTTATATGCAGTCCAGCTGACAGCGAGTGTCCAGAACATCCTGCATAAAGCTGTTCACCCCTCCTGCCAAGTGGCGTATCTTCTTCTGTTTCACAGATATCCTTTCAGAAGTGACAGTATTAGCATCAGATTAAGCGCCAACAGAAGTTTCATTAGGGAATACACAAGCTCAGACTGCCCACATCTTGCCACTATTCATATTGACACCATGTCCAGGACCAGCCAGAACCCTGGAGGAGGAGGAGTGAGAAAGCAAGTATCAGTGCTGCAATCACCATCAGTCACTCTGATAGCGATTCAGTGATTCACGATCTTGCTTCAAAATTAGTTGCAAAGGAAGGCAGGAAAGCTGATGCTAACTTACTTTAAACAATATCACAGAGAAAATGTATTCCTTACCATCTAGAAAATACCAAAAAAGGATTATCTGCCATCAGTGATATTTGTCAAGGACTAACCCTGAAGGCTACTGTTTCAGATTTACAATTTAATACAGAATGCATGACTTAAACTGAAAATACTCAGCCTACAATTTTCGTATTAGTAGACAAGGCTTCTAACAAGAAATAAAGATTGAGTGAGCATTTCCTTCAGAATTTTATTCCACGAATACGTGTTGGTTTTATCTGGGTAAACCTGAATAATTTGTTACTTAATTATTTGTGTGCTCATGAGTAAAGATGACAATAAAGGTGAAAATAATAAAACTACTCACACATCCAGCCAGCAAGTACTTAAACAACTGAGTTACCAACCTTCACCTCTATTACTGCACAATGCTCTCTGGAGATCTGTTACAGTAAGAGAGTCACTGTTATTTCCAGGAACTTTTCAAAGAGACATCTCCGTTATTAAGCACATTCCCATCAAAAGTCACTCCCTAATTCATGTAGCAGAAAGGTAAGCCTTGGAGCTCCTACCATGTGCTAGACACATGAACACAGCAGACACTTTATAAAACGCCAGCTGAGAAGGGGACGCATGCTTTCTATGTTGCTTGACTAGATGCGAAGGCTTAGAGTTAAGACAGTAAAAAAGAAAAACAAATATACCTCTGGTTAGAATGAAGTCAATAATTCTTAACAGCATTTATGTGTATCATTAAAACTGTTGTCTTCTGACCTGCTTTGCTTTCATCTTCATGGGGTCAAGGAAGAGCGAGCATCATGCTGAGTGGTATTTGCCCTTCCCCTAACTGATGGATATGACCTTTTTTACTTCATTTTCCAAGGCCTCGGGAAGAGCAGCAGGTTTGGGGATAAGAATATTTCCTGCTCCCCTCTGCTGTGAGAAAGTAGTGGTAAAGGACATAATTTTCCCTTTCTTCCTGCAGAAGTCTGAACAAGATGTTTCTAGGAAGCCTGAAGAGAAAAGTTTGCTCCTAGAGTGGCAAGGAAGACCAGGTGAGTGCAGGCAGGACTTCAGTGAGGAGAAGTTGCCCAAATATAAGGGCTGGACCTGTGCCTGACAAACAAGGAATGATGACCATCTCTACAGTCTTCCTGCAGATCATGGATTGCAAGAAAGAGCATCCCTTTTCAACTCTCACTCTGGGAGTCTGAAAACAGACTCCATTTCTGGAGTTGCTAGGAGAACATACTTCTCCCAGCAGGCACCACTGCCACAATCACAAGAACGTACCTGCTGGGTTTGAGAGAAACAGCTCTAGAAATGTACATTTTCTACTGCGAAAGTGGGATCTTCGTGACTACTGATAGAGTACGTGTCAAAGGGAAAGGCAGCAGATTATTATGCTAGAGGGGAAGGGCAAGTTTTCATTGTGAAAATCTTTGTGTAAAAAAAAAACTTTACATAAAAATGCTTAATAATAAACACGTGAAAGCTTGTATTTTGGGAGGTAAACTTCTCTGGGCAGCAAAAAAAGCTGCTTTTTTCTTTCTTCTGTAAAACTTACTACAATCAGGCAGCTCCTGACAGACATTATAGCTGCATTAACATATCTATTACATATGCAACAGGTCTGTTAAAAAAGTCATTGTTAAATTCAAAAACTCTATTATTTGACTTCAGTTTGTAGGAGTATTCCCACAGAGCTCACACTATTGACTATTCTGAGATTTAGGGACAATCATTTTGAAGTAAGAGAAAGAAAAGTTCTGTAAGTCTAAAATAGCTGTGTTCTTCCTCTTCTGTACAAAAAGCATCACTTTACAAAATAAATGCGTTAACAGAGCTAAGTATAAAATACTGAACTAGAAGTAGGGACAGAATGAGAAAAGGTAATGCTGATATTAAGATGAAAGGGCAGAATTTTAACTGTGCCTGTGTTAATTTCCAGTGCTTACATCCCACTGCACTTCAACTCCTAAATTCAGATGCTCTTGAAGACTTCACCCTTAAGAACTGTCTGGCATTTATTTCCAGAGCTACAACCACAGATCCAAGTTGAAAACGCTAGGAATTTATGACTATTCTCACTTTACCGTCTTGCATAAAGTATAGATTACATTATGAGCCTGAGATAATTGGTCCTTCTATAGGACTCTGAATACTACGCCACCATTTGGTACAAAATATTCTTAGCACAGAAATGAAAGTTCTGGTATTGACAAATAGACAGCTATTAGTAACATACTCTGAGAATAACCTGATCTTAAAAAGAAGGTGCAATCAACTGTATTAGGATACCACATCACACACTTTTTCTTTGTGGGGTTTTGACTGAATTATTTCTGTTGTCTTCATTCTGTTTCTGCCTGTGAACAAAGGCTGTCAACATCAGCTTTTGACTCACATCTTAAAAAAATTGCTGAAATTAAAATGCCCATGCCTTGAAAAAGTTCAAATCTTTTAACCTTGGATGATGTAACAGAAAGCTAAGGTCACAAGGCAGCAGAAATAAGCTGTTAGCACAACTCCACTTAAACCTAAACCTCATGTGTCATGGGTCTTCACTTTTGCCTTTGAATTAGCTATTGTGAGAAAGATGTTTTAACCTTATGGAGTCAGAATGAATGCTGCTGTTTAGGAAAACAACTACTGGCAGTGCTGTGGCTGCTTAAGAGAGAAACCAGCCTTCGAATAGCTTAGGTGTGTTAGAACACACTGCTCAGGCCATCTTATTTTCCCCAAAAAGCAAGTTTTCTTCTTTTCAGCAGCGCAGACGGGCACATCCTCAGAAACTGCAGGACGAGCACCGCTCAGTTTCCTAGGAGGCACACTGTATGATTACCGGCAGGTCCTACTGGTTCTACATAAAGGCCTGTATGAATACGCTGACAGCCCTCTTGATCCGCCTCCGTGCACCCATAATCTGTAACAGCGTGCTTCCCTAAGCAGTGTCTGGCTGTACTGCACGTGGACTGGGGGAGCGCTGAAACACTCCTACTATTGATACACTCCACCTAGTTGTGTGTTTCTTGTTCCTTAAGTAAGGTCTGCTTTTTCAAGAACAGGTTCAGGCTTATGTTAGCAGTCAAAAAATCAGCTGTAGCAACATACCACTTGAACAAATGCTGGTTACTTATCGATTGTGTATTTCAAGCAGCATCTATAGAGACACCTCAGTATAAATGTCTATGCCTCAAAAGAGGAAATAAGAAAGCAGCAGAAGTTTCCTCTAAAAAAAATTGAAAGCTAAAATGTATGAACACAAAAGGTAATAAAAATAACATCTTTACATCATTTTTCTTTTTAATAAAATATCATCATTTCTTTTAGTCACTTATAATCTTACGCTGGAATTTAAAATATAAAGCCCAATGCTACTGAAAAGTTTAATAAATCCCTTTCTCTTTGTAGGAATTCCCCCAAATTGCTTTGCAGGAATGTCCACACATTTGAGAATTTTATTGTTCAGCCACTTAAATTCTCATGTTGCCTACAATTTTACAGTCAAGGCAAAACTAGCATTCTTAATTTCAAAATAACATGAGACAGTACTGTACATAAAAGTGGACTGACAGTTTTGGGCACTATGGAAAGCAGGTCTGTAACGTAAGTGCAGGCTGCTGAGCACAGGTATTTTATTTTTAAAGAAATGAAATGAAAATCTGAATGCAAAGGAAGGACAAGAGTGCTATGCTGGCAAATGCAGATATGCCTTCTTGGACTACTGTGGCACCACACATGATCTTAGATAATGTCTGACTTCAGCACACACTTAACAATGGGGCACTTATTCCTAGGAAGATGCAATACACTCTGCTATTTTCTTTAATTAGCTTCTGCAGAAGACTGAAGCACTTGGACCTTTTCTGCCTTTTTCTGCCTATTAGCTAACTTGGATCAGGCAACACAGAGGTCAAATATTCAATATGAAATTTATTCAGACTTTGAAAATAGAAAACCGGGGACCAGAAACCAAGCAAAAAATTAAATTGTTATCACCATACCATAAACAGTAGATCATTTCATTTCATTCATAGATTTCATTTCCAGCAACTATCATCACACTACTATGTCCAACTTGTGAGATTGGTATTGCCCTAAGAGTGTTTTGTTCACATCACTTTGATTAATCAACAGCTGCCAAATGCAGAAGCTAACAACCCTCATTTTCTTCAACTTCCAGCTTCATGTAAACCACAGTTTTGTCTTTATCTAACCTGACAAACACTGTTCATTGCTCTCACTTTACAAAGGAACTCAGAAACAAATAAAAAGTGCAGGCCCTGAAAGAAGAGCAGAGGAAAGAAACAAAAGCAAGCTACAACCGTGAGTTATGGTGGAAGAGTCAAGCCTTTTCAGAATACAGGCACACAACATCAAGGAAATACAATCAGTTATTTGCTCTGCATGCTAATGACACTGCAGGTTCCGCTTTTGCATCACAGCCATCAGTCTCTTGGGCTCCAACCGCTTTGCAAGAATTATATTACTGTTTCAAGCCGTGCAGGTAGAAGGAGCACACCACCTGAAACACAGGACTGTCTCACCCCTTGATGCTATATTTCTTGTATGATCATCCAGGGGGTGGAACAGAAATGCTTCACTGCTCGGACCACGTGGACTTGCATATAGCTGCTCATCTTCACAGGATGGGAAGAAGGCATAATAAAAATTAAATTACCAGATTTTTGTAATACGCATTACTTCATAATTTTAAAAAAATATATAAATCTCTCTCTCTCTCTCTCTCAAGTGCTGACAAGAATTGTATTACAAAAGGAGAAAGTAGCAAACTTTGCATCACGTTCCTGGACTGAACAGGGCAAGAGGGTAGTAAGTTACAGAAAGGAGGCCTTACATTCTTTGCATAAAGACAACCTTTCCCAGCCACACAAAGTTAACCTGCATATGCTTTAGATTGCTAGCAAAACTCACAAGCTTTCACCTATTCATATTTTCCTGTGAACATAGATATTATTGAAGAGCAGGTATCAATTTTCTGATGAACACAGTTTGAAAGATGTATTAGTTCCGTTATTATCACTGTAAGAGACCTAGCACAGGGTATTTTCTTTCAAGTTGCTCAGCTTTTTTCTTAACTGGTTACAGCTGTAAACCTGGGATCAAAAAGCTAGAAGGGAAACACTAAAGCTGCTCAGGAGATTTGAATGCTGCGGGGAGAGAACATGGTTAGCTCTAGTGCAGTCACTGCAATTTAATTGCTGATGGTAGCAGCATAATAAAAGAAGTATCAGCTAATCCCAACTTCGGAGTGATCTAAAGCAAGGTCTAGATTGCCACTTCAGATGCAGATGACAAGCATCCAGGCATCACCACGTAGTCAGGGTTCAACAGTCCTGCTGTGAGGCTGGGTTCATCGCTTGGTTCAGTCTCTGGAATACGGCTTGATCCATGAACAGATGAAATGTAAAGCCTGTTTATCAGTGCTTGTACTCAAAGAATGCCTTTCACCAAGAACCAGAGCATACTTTACAGCCCAGCACCATCCACACATCCTAGAAAGACTTCCATCTCTGCAGCAGAACTCCACTATTTGTTCTGCCAACACCATCACTTTCTGTTATTACTAATTATTATTCTAGAACAGAAATGAGAAAGAGGGCCCACAGACTGAACAGGACAGGTGCTATATTAACATATAACAACATGGGTCACACTTATCTGGTGCAATTTACATTTCCTCCCAGAAAAAGCAGTCTCTGCATTCACTATGCACTTTTCAGGTCTCATCCAAACACGGAATCGGCACTTGGCAAGAGGGTATACCCTGACGCCCGGAACAGCTCAAGGCTCTCACCATAGAATAGGATAGATATAGGCTGTGGACACCTGAACAGGTGTACATTTGGGACACCACAGTCAGCAAGCATCTCGGAAACCTCACGCACATTCGCCATGGTAACCTTGCCACCAACACCATGCAAGAATATTTGATCAACACTGCTTAAAAGGCTTCCTTTAATGATTTATCACGACATTTTTTTCCTTCCTTAGCATAGAGAGTGGAAATTGAACAGTTTAGTTCAACAGTGCAGACTCCAGCAATTTGCGCAGCATTTTTTTATATTATTACATTTATTAGTACATATAAAAACTGTTACATATACATATAACAAGTGTTAGTTCATCACACTGTTTTCTAAAAAAGTTCCAGACTGATCAAAACAGGTGTAGAACAACAAAATCATAACAACTGAGCCTTTAAAATGTCAGCCCAGAGTAAAGAGAAAAGGAGACAGGATAATTTCAGAGATGACAGAATAAATGAAACTTAAAACAAAACTGAAAAATACAACATTCATTTCCAGTTTGGAAAGGATTAGTAAATCTGAAAATAAATATGTACCTATTTTTAAAGAAAATAATTCACTCTAAAATCAACATGTCAACAGAAGGTTAGCAAACATCAGTGTACATTTTTGAACAACAACATAGCTCTAAACATCACACTTTTCTACCATACTTCCTCAGCACTCTCAGAAAACAAACAAACTTTTTCTGTAAGCTGAGACAACTGGAAAAGAGAACAGTCTTATTGAAGTATCTTTGTATGGGAACATGTCTTAGGCATCAAAATCTCATAAATCATGTATTACAATTCTGTTTTATACTCTATAATCTTTATACAATTACATGTTTTGGAGATCATTTTTGGAAAAAAAACACACCATTAAACTATATTGATAATTCAGTACGAGAACACCTCCTGTTTCTAACTCTTAAGTACACACTGCAGTTTATTACTACCTAGCTAGTCCAGGATTAGAAATACAAAAACAAGAATGCAGGAATGATTTTTTTTAAAATTAAACACATATTATTTCACTATCCAAACCTGAAAATTGTGACTTTATTTATGAAATAACAATCCTGACCACAGATTGAAATAATTTGATTCAGATTCACGACAGCATGTAAATACATACTTTACATTAATCTCGTTGATTTCATAAGAATGAAAGCAAGTTTTCCCCTGTGTTATCCCAGCATTCTCTCTACAAATGTCAGTCCCAGTATCAGAACAGCTACAGTGGTAACAGACCTGGTATATGCATTCATTGCCCTATAAACGCAGGCGACACACACAGCATTTGGGGGGAGAGGGATCAACAATACTTCTGTGATTTCAAGAAGAAATTATCTTTCTTGGACTTCACTTTCTTACCTTGGTTGCAGGTTTTTCCAGTGTATCCTGGGTGGCATTTACACTTGTTTGGCCCAACACATTCACCATGTTTGCATCCTGGTTGGCATATAGCTGCAAATAGAGGAATACTGGTTATTTTTCCACTCCAGTCACGGCTGACAGCGCGTTACTTTGAAACAAATGGCAAGGACCTAACAAATAGTACAGTTTATGTTCCTCCCTTCAGCATCATTATATGCCTCAAATACCACTGTTCAAACATCAGGTGTGCTTTCAAAAATAACCACCACCCCAATACATGTGGGAAGAGGGAGATACTTGTTAGTAGTCTATTTTTGTACAACACTACATTGTGCTGTCTCTGGGATATTATAAACCCTTTTAATACCAAATCAGCAAGCAGGCACTGTGCCTTCACTTACTCTCTCTATGTGTGTATGTACTATGATTCATGCCATTAAATTTTGTAAAACTGGAATACGCTCCAGCTATATAGAAAATGCGTACACCGATATCATAGGTGACACACAAACAAAGCCAGAGTTCAGTCCCTGATGGGCAGCAGCACAGATGCCAGCAGTCACCGTTTTCCTCTATGACTGTAAGGCAACACTCTTCATCCCCTTATTAAGCAATGTTTGGCCTGAATCTCCCCCTTTCAGGTGTGTGGATCCTGGCCTGGGGGTTACTTTTTTTTTTTTTTTTTCTTTTGGAGGAAAAAAGAACTGGGTAAAAGCAAAAGCAACACTGACTGTAATATGCTGCTTTATCACTGCACACATCCCAGTCACTTCTACCCAGAACATTTCAAGCATTTATTGCCCAACCTGCTGTACAGACACTGTCTTCGAATGCGAAGTCATGGTCTATTCTGCTTCCAGAGTTAAATTTACCAGGTAATTTCTAATTCCCCAAATGGAGCATAAATACAGAACTCCAAGTAATAATAGTTAGGAAGCTGGTGTTTGGTACCTCTCTCAATGTAACACAAATAAAATTCATAAACCAAACTTTTAAAACAGCAATAACAAAACAAGCATTGCTTTTGAAGCAAATTTTGAATTTGAAGCAGATTTTTGAACAAAATGCAGATGCAAAATTCTGGTGAGCTTACTATTTAAGCAAGATGGACATAAATTAGACAGAAATCAGAGGGTGGCATAACCCGGATACCCTGTAATCAGGATTTACAATTTACCCTGGCTTTAAGTTAATTTTCTGAACTACCAGTATCGTTTGGAATTTGCAAAGTAACTAGATCCAGCTGTAATATTAATTAATCTGACAACAGGCTGTATCATAAAACTGGATGTATTAAGGATGTAATTTAACAGAAATCTGTCAGAAGGCATTCAAAAATGTAGCTCGCATTCTAGCCAAGCTGTGCAACAGGGTTGAATTAAAACAGACACAAGAGATTAGTTTTGGTTGTGGAAGAACTATGCAAATACATCTCTGATGTTCTAAAACCTTTTCTGTAAGATTCAAACCATCCAGAATCAGCAATTCCCACAAATGCATCCACAAAAGCAACTGTTAGTGTGGAAGGAGTTTGCTTGAGTTTTAGGACTGCATGTGCCCTTTATTAGGAGGGCATTTTTTCATTTAAACATTATATATATGTATGGCCAGAGATATCCCCTGAGAACATAAAACCTTGTTTTAAATCTACAGCACTGCTTTTGGCGACCTTCCTAACGTGATGGTGCAGTCTCTTTCTGAAAACCGTCTTAGGGAATATCTTAAGATGCAACAGAGAGATGCTTCTAGTTAATGCAGGATCTTCTTTTTTCCCCCCAATAAACACTGTCCAGAAACCAAGAAATGGGATTCAGATCGAGCAACACCTCTCAATTAAAGCATTAGGAAAAGAGGCTGCTTAGACTACTGAAAGATATGTTTCAAAAAGTATGCCCTTGGGCAATGGACAGAGTTGACTGAAGAGCAACTCATATCATGAAAAACTTCTAGAATATTGTACTTGGAAACAATTGCTGCTTTTTAATCACTGTGGTCATAAACAGAAAAAAAGATCTTCTTTGTGTAAGAGCTCATTTAGACACTGAGACTCTTATCTTCCTGACATCATAGGCCTGAGTTTGATTAAAGGTGATGGTGGCAAAATGAAGACTATGAAGACCAACTTCATGACTTTGAAGTCACTGGGGAAAAAGAAAAAGATGTGATCTAAACTACAGTCAAGAAGCAGAAATGACTATAAATATGTTTTTGAAAGCTTCCATGAAATTTCAACTGCACTTTAGACAAAATCCATATTGTGGAGTGGGATACAGTTAGGTAATAATTACTCTTCAAAAAAGCACAAAGCACCACAGGATCAGCTTGGTCGAAGCGTTACAGTTCAGTAGCTGAACCTGTGGCAACTTTAATTTAGCTGACTACTTTAAAGTTTTGGTCCCTCCCTCAGCTGCACAGATTGTAAATTAGCAGCAGCTCAAATAGAGGGGAAAAAGATCTCATACTTGAAGATGAAAAGCCTTGTAAAATTCAGTAATGAAATAAATGAGATTTTAATTTAATTTAGAAATTAAAGTGTTCCTCTAATTCAGAAGGTCAAATACATTTCTATTAGGAAGCAGACGTTTTGCTTAATTCTCTCAGTTAACAGTAGGTCACGTATCATACTGGAACAAAAATTATGTATTATTATTTAAAACAAATAATATACAGCTGTCTACAGATAGGAAACATGTAACATTAGGCCATGGTACTAAATCAAGCAATTGGATCTATGGGATCTTCAAGAGATCATCTAGTCCAATACATCTCAACAAACTTAGCTCCATACTATGCAGTATTTAACGTCTTGTATGACATACAGGTGGTAACTCCTGATCTAGTCTACCTCCTAGTCTCAAGATATAATTAAGAAATGCACTTAAATCACATGACGGATCTCTCTCTTTTCTGCTTTTAGCAATTTCAGTTAAAGGAGACCTCAGCCCCTCAGCAGTCCACAGCTCAAGAATCTCTGCTACCACAAGGAAAGTCTCCTAATGATTAGCAAACCACTATCCATAAAGTCCAAGTCATCATAAAATGCTTTTTTTTGCACACTAAACAGATATTTGGAAACCTACGTTTGTTGCCAAACGCTTACTAGAGTACCTTCTGTGCACTTTGGCTATGTAAGCATTATCTTATTTACACACAGCTGCTGAAATTCAATACAATGTTACAGCAGCAGAATTCCTACAGGCAAGAGAAAAGCGCTTGGCAGTAAGCTTAGCAGCATCTGTAGCTCAGCCCGCACCACAGACAGCATCCCACAGCATTTCCTACCAGGGGCCGAGCCACCCTCACCCTCAAGCAACCTGTGCATGCCCCCTTTAGCCTGAACGGGGCTTTGCACGGTGCTTAAGCAGACGGCGTTCAGCCAGGTCCGCACACCTGGCCGGGGTTCCACCGGCGACGTCCCCGCGCCCTTCCCACCGACCTCTGCCAGAGCCCCCAGGCCCGGGGAGGTGGGCTGGCTCGGGCCCCGCCATCTGCAGCCTGCAAACAGCCCCTTCTCCAAAGGAGGAGCTGGCCCTGCCCGGCGGCAGGGATGCGCTCGCTGGCTCCCCAAAGGTTCCGTTTGAACGCGGTCAGCAATGAGATCCAGGTATAAAAATAAGCTTTGCCCTGACTTTCAGCATTTCTTTTAATAGCAGGCAACTATTTCAGCTGTTTGGTATGAGTCTAGGCAGACACAACATATGCTGATGCGACTGGGTTTTTTCTTTGAATTTCCCACTCTACTTATTTTCTTGCAAAATTCAGAATTGAATAGAATATTTCAGTTGCTCTGCTAACGCACAAACACATGGAGTTTATCCGTTTTTTTAACACAATTAGACTCATAAGTAGTGGGGAAAAAAGTCTCCCAACTAATATTCTTTGCATCTTGACAATTAAAAAATTCCCCCACAACTGACCACAACCACCAATATCATTTCCCTCTGATCAACTCACATTTACAATGACTGAAATAAGCCATGTCCATGGACTTCACTGCGCTACATAACCTCACTTCCCTACTAGGCAAGAAGGAACTTTCTAGTCTTTGTAACAGTAATTGTTTTAAACAAAAATTTAAAGTACACTTGTATAGACAAGTGCCACTACAAACAAGATTGCTAATTTATTGTTGAATCAGTATCAACACAAGGATCCTTCTCTGAAAGCATTTAAGCTGGCACTCCCCTCAGGTAGTAATGTGGACTGAGATATAGAAAGAAATCCTAAGCACAGCTATTTTCATCTTTAGTCAGCTGCTGCTTATTTAGCTAGGCCATAGAATAAACTACAACTAAACTTTCCATTTCATTTTGTTGCCCAGTTCATTCATAAGATACCAGCAAATAAACTCTGGTCTCATGATTATTCATTTCAGTTTGATCATTTTAAATTCTTTTTTTGGGCCACATGTGAAGACTTGCTCTGCCTCAGTTCCCACCGAATTCAACGGAGTCAAGGAGGTATCCTAAAGCCTTTTATTTGGCCACAAATCTAACACAGTACCGATTTTAAAGGTTGGCAAGAACTACCTTTTCCTCCAAAATAAGATGATAAATACCACATTTTAAGTCACACTTAAACTTCAGGACAAATTAAACTTCCTGTAAAAATAACACAAGGAACTGAAACGTGAATGAGTAGTTTTGGGTTTAGGGGTTTTTTTTCCCAAGTGTAGGAGAGAGGGAGAAAGAATTTCTGGTAAAATGCACATGCTGTTAGCATGTGTTATGCTTGTGTAAAAGCCAGAAGCCTTCAATCTTCCCAGCCACTACTAGCTGCTGGTGGTGTCTGAGCATGACTCAATCATCCTGAATTATTATTTTTTTAATTGTTGCATAAATAAAATAAATGAAAACCACATTCAATCAATTCGATATGGGTCTATAATATTGGGGGTTTTAAATTTCATCCTTATTTTCTCCCTGCACACAGTTCCCTCAGAACTGCTCTGGAAGTCCTCCTCAGGTTTTGTCCGTTCCTCTGCGCTAAGCTTCCCAGCTTTTGAGGGCATGGGTGACATACCACATGCTCTCCCCTCTATTCCTTCTCATCTAGAATTTTAACATTAATGGTTTCTTTTCTTGATTACCAAATGCTGTTTGTTGGAATCCTATCCAGACAGCTGCAATGCCTGGTTCCTACCTGCCTAACTCCTGCTCTTCATTTGTGGCCAACAATGGAAATCCCTGAGCTTTCTTAGTGGAGTTTCTCTACCAATTTAACTCTTTGGTTTTCCAACGCTCCTAGCTACTTCTTTCATCAAAACAGCCTTGAGCATAATTCTGTGTGCAATTCTTACATTCTTTTTCTCTGCTTTGGCTCTTATTTTCTGTTCCTTAATAGTTATTTCTTATTCCTTGCATTTTCTTTCTTATGTGATGCCCACAAGAGGGTTTCATTGACAGAAGCTGCCCTCAAAGCCTTTAATTGCTCTTTCTGCATCCCTCCACTCAAATCTGCCTCAAAATGCCAGACTGCAGATGTCCAACCTGTCCTTGAACTTCTATTTTCAGCTTTCTGAAGTCTAAAAATATGCATAAGAATACCTGCATCTGAAACAATCTATGCTGACCACCTGCCTGAACGGCTTTGCTTCTGCCCTCTCTTCCCAAGTAACATATAGCCCCTTATTTACTCTGACTCTAAATCCTAGCTCCTTAAAATTCAGTTTGCCCAAACATAGAAAGTAATTTGCGCATCAGTCCAGAGATGATTACGTATTATTCAGCTTCACAAACCTTTACTGGATCTTCTTACACTGCTGAATGCAGAACAGACTTCCAATCTTAAGATCATGACTTCTGTTCCCCCAGTGCCAACTTTATAACAAGACTCGCATGTTGGTGAAACACGCCTTCCTCTATGCTTCCTGAAACCGGCTCCCTTTTTCCTGTGGTGCTAACAGACCACAGCCTCAAATTCTATACTTCTCTTCCTCAGAGCCACCTTCAGGTCACATCTTATCTCTTTCTATTTGCTTTTGGCAATTATTTGCAAATTATGCAATTGCATAAACACACACTCAGGAAAACAAATCTGCCTTATTCACAGTAATTTGGATCTAGGATCCTAAAGGTATGAGCTAATTTGTAAGATAAATCACTGCAGCTCTTTCAGAGTTAGATATTTCTTTTTTATTCAACTACATACAAATGCAGGAGAATGCATAAAGCTTAACCTACCACACAGTTGCCAGTGGTAGTAGTTACCAGGTGGTAAAAACATGTCATACCCATAACTCACATCACAGAAGTACTTCTGAAAAAACTTTGCTTCCCAAATAAATGTACTAGCAGTTACAACATATATCTCTGCAGAGCTTAGTAAGCCTGATTAGGGCAACTGGGTATTAACTTTAAGGTAATTTCACATACAAAACATTCCTTACTCTATTTTTTGAAAGATAATAAATGTCTTTGACCAACTTCTGTAACGAGAGACTGATAATATCATCAGATAAGATGGTAGTATCTAATGCCTGAATAGTTTTTTTACAAATTACTTGCACTTATTTGTAACATTCATGATAACAAATGTCAAAATGCATGCTTAAGCTTCCATCTAAAACATACAGTTCCATTAAGTAAGCGGCTCCTAATTTTTCATGCACAACTACTACATTTGCCTGGGTAAATCAGTCACTCAGTTTGCACACATGATTCTGTTAACAGCGCATTGACATGACAAACTGCAACCAGTGTGGGCTATTCACTGCAGTGAATTCTTTGCTTGGCTATAACTGCTGCCAAATGTGTTTCTAAACTGCATAGACAAATCCTGGTTCATGAATGCCTTGCTATTCAAAACAGCACTTAAAAGTATGCATAACTTAAGCAATGGTAACATTGAAATCAACAGGATTTAATGAAGTCAGTGAAAGTTAACCTAATGCACTTAAGTACTTTTTAAAAATCAGTGAAAATTTGATCTAACACAGTGCAAGATTAGAAAAGCAAGAAATACTTCATGCTTTTTCAATCTTTTCATGTTTGCATTTGAAGTGGCTCATGATAACTGCCTCAAGAATGGTGCTCTATCATCTCAAATGCCTGTTTGTTACCTGAATCTTTCTGTGTGCCTACTGAACTCCAGCAGGTAGAAGCAGGCTAGCACGACTGTCTCTGCGTGTGGTGGCAGAAAACAAATTGGGCCCTATTGCTATTTTGTTTAATAGGATGTAACACCCACTGGCTTCAGCAGAGTAATTTCCCTACGACGGTAACAAAGCTGACTTTCAGGGACAGATGAACAGCTGACTGCCACCACAGGGAAAAGTAAAGTCGACACAGCAATTCCTAAGCAGCAGCAGACTGCAGCCCTGGGTACCAATGTAAGCTGGTGTCGACTTCATTTTGCTGTAAGGTGCCGGGTTGTACACTGCTGTAGAGCAGGGGCTGTAAAGCTTCCCCGTTGTGGGAACGACAACTTGCAGTGGAGGTGCAGAGCAGGCAACGGGGGGCAAAAAGTGCTTCAGCCATCCCAAGCTAACCTCCCACCGCGCACAATTCAATACTGCAAAAGCAAATTAGGCCTCTTAAGTCTGACAGCTTGTAAATATGATGCTGGGAGTATAAACAATTTGTAGGAAGGACAAAATACTGCCTGGGGCTTCAGAGTGAAATAAAAAGGAAAAGAGTGAAAAGGGAAAAGTGCAATAGTTTAGAACAGAATTATCTCACCGGATAGATGACTGGGATAAAACAGCCCTGTTAATTTCCACCCCCTCCTCCCCCTGCATCTTCCCCAAATAAAGTGTTTAAAAAAAGGAAAAAAAATAAAAGAACATCTACATCTTCTTGTCACGTGTTACAGTTTTCATGTAAACTTATGACTTGGAGGCCCTAACTCCAGTCATAACCTTGCCAAAATTATTTCAAGAAATATGTTCAGCTAACCTTTGGGCTGGCACCTTAGGCTGGCTATTCTCTGCCTTAAGACGTAGAAGGCTGCAAAACAAATATCCAAAAAAAGAAATTCCAGCTTTTTTTTTTCCTGTAAGGAGGATGGACTTGGCTGGGGTTTTTATCAACTTGTTACATTCCTGGAGACTTACACACATTCAACATTCAGAGCTTTTCTGAAATAAAAAAAATTCTGGTACACATTTTAAAATGGAAATACCTTACTTTCATTATGAGATTTAACAAACACATTCTGATACATAAGAGTAATTAAATATAATGACGAGATGCTATTCTTATTCAATCAACTACGGAGCTACACTTTGTCATGTTTCATATGGTACATAGTTGTAAAAATTCTCAAGTTTCATGGTTTAGCTCCATGTTTAGTTTCCATCAACAGAACACAAATGCTTTTCTTAAAGAGACAGTATCCTTTCATTTAAATACAGGTTTATAAATAAAAATATAGGTATATATTTCTAATGCCACATCTCCACAGAGCAAACATAAAGGGTTAGCATGTGGATGCTTATTTGAGAGTAATTAAAATTGCACCCATTTATAAGTATCTGAACATCTGCAACCAATAAACATGCTGGCATATAAATTTAATGGTCATTTTTATAATGTTTAAATTTTGCATGTCATCTAAATTAAAACTAATGCTTAGAGACCTTTTCAGCTCTTACTACCATATGAAACTAGATACGCTACAAAAGTTAAATAAGATGGAAACACAGATTTATGTTTCGGCCTTATTTTAAATCAATTTATTTGCCAATAAAATTAATGTTAGCAGCACAGCTTATTAGGCTAAAGATTATTAGAAAAGACTGGGACTTAAGCAACAGCAGCTCTTTCTGTTTTAAGCAGTATGTGACCAACACTTAAGGGTTTTTGCTATGATTGCAACTTATATTGATTTAAATTAGTTTTAACCAGAAACTCCCTTAGCATTTGCTACAGTGGAGGGAGGCTCCCCAAGTTGTTGCTGGGCTTTGAGAGAAGCTCCAAATAGGAATATACTACAGTTGTATGGATATACAAATCATGTTACTGTTGAGATTTCCTTGGGAAAAACTGTACTGCAAAACTATTATCCTATGTATGAAGTGCAGGAGGGATGCAGTGGGGAAGCAGAAAAGGATACTGTATCTTTAATGTAGTAAAATCATAACTGCTTTAAAAGCATAAAGCTTTTAAGCTGAAAAAAACCTGAATAAAAATAGCAAAACCTCATTTTTTCTTGCATAGCAGTATTAAAGCAGTATTGCAATTCTGTATAAAATGTCTTTTCTTTGAAAAGAACCAGGGATGCACAAAAATACTGGTCATTTTTTAAGAAGCAGACATGCAGCATAGCGATATTAACTAAACATTGCCAAAACAATGCATTAATGTAGATTGTATTCTTGCAACCATAAATTCAGTAACAAAACCCTTTTTGACTTTAAGGAGGTGTCAGCCTCCTGGAAGCCAGTATTTTCATGGCTCGTTATTGACAAAATCACAGTTTTATTTTTGTGCATCTTGGACTATACAGAATTGCCGTTTCCACATTGTTATGTGCAAGAAACAGAAGTCCTAAGCAGCTTGTGGCCTTTTCTCCCATTGATGTATAAGATATTTACATGGGTAAACTCCCATCAACATGACCGTTGGTTATACAAATCTCCTTCTAGGCATCAATGAGAGCACAGCCACCTCTTCCCCCACCCCGCTACCACCACCTTGCATCTCCGCAAATAGACTGCACAGTCTTAAACAGACACACAGTCTTTAAGCTCATCAGGACAGGAGCAGCAGCACAGACAGCATGAGTTTCTTCACAACTTGTTGTTAAGAAGGCAGCAGCATGCACAGTTCCCAGCAAAGCATTTGGTATGCCTGCATCTGCTATATCAGCTTGTACAAGTTCCCCTCTCTCTCTCGCAGGTCCTCCTGAAATACTGTGCTTTCTACTAGGTGTGACTAAATCTAAATGCTAACCTGACATCCTTCAGTCAACATTTTGTAATGATGCAACGCTAAGGGGAGGTGTAAACTGATGGCTTGTCTTATACTTTCACTAATGGGCTATTTTATTGTATTCCTTCTTGATTGACCTGTTCCCTAGGCTTTTAAGCCAATTGTCATGGTTTTAGTGTAAGGTGGTGGGAAACTACTTTGCTGACCTATTCTGGTCTTGGTCCCTATGTAGAACACTCAAACTTCAGCGCATGGAGATAACCAGATGGAGTTACAACAGATGGATGCTCTGAAACAGCACACATCTTCACAACCCCTTCTCAAGACAGACCTTAGAGACTGTGTTATTGTTTAACGAGAATTCAACATGGAAATGACTGAAGTAATCAAATAACGTCACTACTTGTAAAATCAATGTTCAGTGGGATTTTATTCCTGTTAAGCACCTTCTGTTGGTCAAACTTTCTGTCCACCAGACAAAAATCTCAGAGTATCCTCTGCTGACTCCAAAAGTCATGCAGACTCATGCCAACAGAGGATCTGACAGTAAATCTGCAGCCATTTCTAGAAGCTGCAGATACAACCTTCTATTTTGTACTTATGTGAACACGGCAAAAGGAATAAATTTTGCCATCGCCTCTAGCAAAGGAGTTGTCCAAACTGTAATCCAGAACGAGAATTCAAGCTGGTTTATATTGCTTTTCTTAAAAAAAAAATCTTGCTTAACCTTTTAAATCTATGTTGAAGTAGTATCTCTTTCTACAGTTCTTGGCTGTTAAACTGCAGCTGAAATGTTGAAGCAAAAGGCAGCCTACATCTTTAGTGTACCTTGACTACATATAACTAGCATACAAATCAATTACAAACAGACATGCAGCCAAGTACAAAGCAGGTGTATGTTGTTCATGAAAGGCACACGCACGTGGAAACCATTTTATAGTTTTTGAAAGAACTACAGAGACATTTGTAAGTCAGCTAAAAGCAAGGCAAGTAGACCATTAGTTCTAAGAACAACTTTCAGGGAACCAAGATGGATTAGTGGCAAAAACGTCCACGAAGGACTACTATTTTTCAAATAACCCCTAGCGCGGCCTGTTGGAAACTGAAGGGAAGAACTTCCACTTTCATACTGAGGAATAAAAAGCATCACACTACTTCTCATATAAGCCCCTGCATGAAACAAGTACATCTCTTATCCAACATTTTAGTTTTCTGATAGGCTAAACAGGTTCCAGAGCTCAGTATGTGAGGTTATATTCACAGTTGATTCTGTACGCCAGATTATCATCAAGGATCAGTCATCAGTGGTTCCAAGGACTTTCCTGCAGCCTGGCCTACCTCTGAACTAGCAGAGACACTTGGACCACAAGGCCCAGATTATTCTTTCCTTGAGAAACACTCAGGAAGACAGCCATCCCTGCAGAATACTGTCACAGACATCTTATTAGGGGGATGAGATGACAGGCTTCAGCAGGTCTCCTGGACAACCATAGCTAGAATACAGGAATGGACACGACTGTTTTCTATTGCTCATCCAGCTCAAAGAACTGAGCTCCAGCCCTACCACTGCTGAAAATTCTCTTCCCCCAAGTATTTCAAAGCATGAAAATTAATGCTTAATAACACATTAAAAAAAAAAAAAAAAGCTGAATAACTTCCTAAGGCAATTTTTTTCTGCTGGCACACAAAAAAGTGCGTTTGTGCAAGATGTGTACAGTGGTGCACGCCCCAACTTGGTTTTACCTATATACTTTAAAACCCATTTAATGGGTTCTGGGTTAGGACAACACACTCAGTACCACAGATGCAGCTGCCTTACAATGCAAAAGGAGTTATGAATTAAAAATGTACTGTTGATACCTGCTCTCACCAAAAATGCTCTGTCACAGGAAGTCAAACCCCCCTACTCTGAGAGAAGAAATCCAGAAGAAACTCTTTGTAGCCTCACTTTTGCTCTGGGTTATAGTTTTGCTGTGTGCACAACAATAACACATAAAAATGCAAGACAACACCCCTATTTTTACACATACCTCATCAGGTACTTTATCAACACACCATTTTTCACAAAAGTAGGCTTTTGTGTGATTATTCCCACTTACAGCTATTACTCCCCCTACTACTTATTAAGGTGCAAGTAAATCCCACAGGCTGGGCAACAACATGGGATTTTTGGACTACTTTCAACTGGGATATTTAACATCTTTAAAGCACTTATGCTCTGAGTCCATGAGTGTAAAGGATCAGCTCTACCAGTGATGAGGTTACTTCACATGAACCAAGAGCTGTTGCTTAAAAAACATTGCTGCTGCTTCCAAATTAGCCTTTCTACACACCAGGTTTAACCAACAAACTGGGTTTACACACCAGATCAAAACCTCAGGAAGGCTACTCAGTTACGTTAGTGATGGAATATATCCATCATTCTAAATCTAGATTAGGCCACTAAATAAGTGTGGATGGATTTTCTATTTACAAGGACTTAGAAATGTCAATCAATTTATTTGAGTTACATTTGTTCAGCCTCTTTGAAAATATGGCTATATTTGTATCAATCTCAAAATGGATCTTGCTGCCTAAACATGGATCTCACTTTGATGTTCACAACCTGCAAGGAAGAAAAAAAAAGAAAAAAAATCTAACCTGTTTCAAAGTTCTTGGGTTTTTTTGAGCTGGAGCTAAGTGCATTTGCTGAAATCGGCAAGAGCATTTGGGAAGGCAATTTCACATCACTGAAGAAAGAATATTTCTACCAGCTGAGACGTTACAGCTGACACTGACAAGCTTTGGAAGCACATTTACAGACAGATCAGACCTACATGCACTTCCTTACACGTACAAGTCTTGACTGGTGTAATTTAACAAGAGACAGAGGATGTTTTAAAGGAAGGAAGAGTGTAAATTAAAGGAGGGGCCTGGTGTCAACTTCTTCCTCCATGTTTGTAAGAGTGGAAAAGACAGCTGAGTTATGCTGAATGGCATTACTAAGCAGCAGTAAGCATGATTATGCTCTACGTGCACTCTTTTGTCAGTCAAAGGGACATAGAAGGAATTTACTCCATACTTCACAAAAGCAAGTTTAGCTAACACAGTGCAGTTTCTATTTGCAACTGTACGGATGGATAATGGAAGATCATGAGCACCAAGTTACCAAGGCTTAGTAAGTTACTGCTTGTCAGCTGTGCCACAATCCTACCCTGTTAGAGCTGATATACACAGGCTTAAACCTCTGTCACAATCAAACCAGTACCTTAAATCAGACAGCTGGTTTAAACTAACACAATTTTTTCTCAATAGCCATAGGGCAGAAGGTATGTCCAGGTGCATTTGGTGGAGCAGGTCAGCTGGATAGCAGAAAACGTATCCAGGTATGTCAGCGATCGCTTGCCCATGGCTCATCACGGCTCAGATGTCTCCATAAACTGGGACAACCCTGTCATGTATTGGAGCCTATATTCTTGCTACACTCCGGTTCCAGCACTGCCAGGCATACGGAGGATAGCTCAAACTAGTTTGAGAAAAGCAGTTCAAGCTCACTGATAAAGAGCTCAGCATTGCTGCCTGAGTATTTACAGCTTCTTTTTTGGACTCATTTGTAAATTAGGTCTCACTACTAATTTTTAAGCCTGACTCTATACTTGTTTTCATTGTGCAAAAACAGTTTATTCTAGAAACAGAAAAGAAAATGTATATCTAGTAGAGGAATTCTGATGTATTTATGCCACTCATTTCAGGGACACAACTAAGAGGTCTGCCTTTCTCCATAGAAAAAGCAGGAGAAATAATTGTGTACTTGGCTTCTTGGAAATCTTTCAGTGATATCCCTTTGCACAGTAAAACACTCAAGTTTTCGTTTGAGGCCAGGAATGCTGCCTTCTGTGCCAGGTTAATCCTCCATACCAAATGCCACATTCCCAAGGTGGAGAGTTGACTACAGATACTCTATTTGGCTGCGAGCACTAGAAAGATTCACTTTCATTTAGTGTAATCTCCCACTCTGTGATATGACTGGAATTTTCACCACCCACAACTGAGGCAGATTTTCTTGCCTTTATTTTGCTAAGAGTTTGTCTCCCATTCAAAAACTAGAAAGATCTGCTAAGTTTTTAGTAACTTCTTCACCCAAATGTCTGAGACTCTTCTGAACCAGCAATTAAAAAATTATCAGCACCCATTGTGTGAAAAAAAAGGGGAAAAAATGCATTTACACACCTAAGTGAAAATTGTATTCTTTTGAAAGTCTGGTCCCAGCTACTGGAGATGACCACATAAAAATCCATCTCCGTACTTCCTAGAAACGTGCATGGAGAACAAATCTGTGAATAATGGACTAGAATGCAGTGGAAGGAGGTGAGAATTCACCTAGCTTTAGCCTTAAAAAAAGAGCATTTATGGTATCTGAAAAAGTTGGCACTACAAATGACCTTACTGACAAAATTCAAAGAGTGAAAAATAAAAAAAACTTTCTGTGTATTACTACTTCTGTCTTGTTTTCAAAGCATCACTTTATGCTATTCCCGTTTCCCAAGATCGTAAAAATGCAACCCCAAATCAGACTTGGTAATAGGGAGAAATTAAAAGCCAAATGTAACAGAAATTGGCTTCCACCTAAACATGAGCTGCAATTTACAGTCACAACACCAGAGACAACTTGTCTAAGAAAAGGGCCACAGTGAGATCCTTTTAGCATTTTGGGTTTTGTTGTTGCTTTTTTTTTTTTCCCCCCCCAAACAATGCGAATTATTGATCTTGCCAGTTAAGCCTTTGTAGCCTCCAACATTTAAATCTCAACGATTTTCAAATAATACTGTTTTATGAAAGATGGACAGAGATTCTATCATCTCTGGAGTAGCCTCAAAAACTTACTTCACATTTTCCTTCCTTCTCTATAAACGTTCATCCACAGGAAAGAGCTACTTGTTACCAACTACAGCCCTAAAAATCAAAATGATTCATGGTATGGCCTGAGAGATATCAACCTGACAACTTTGAATCAAAAAAACATATCAGGGATGTTATCTTCCAGAATTATTTTACATAGTTATTTTACCAGTCATCTTATATACCCATTAAACATTGTGGGCTTTTAAAAGCCCTTGGGAAGGAAGAAGGCAATCTTGCTGTTTACAGATTTGAACAAAACCTTTGCCAAGAGTCTACGCTTGCATTGCCAATGCTATTTCTATCTTTTGCCTAACATTTGTCACCTATAGTCACTGCCCTGCAGACTAAGTAACAGTATTTAATACCTGTTTTACTTTGAAAATGGCTTGGCAGAAAATGATCTGATTTACAGACATCTTAATCTAAATTTAAAAAAAAAAAAAAAAAGAGAGAGAGAACCAGTATTTATAGGTTCACTCCTGCAAAAACTTAGGGGATCTCACTCATGTATGCAGTTAAAACATGTGAGTGAGTGTTCCCAGTATCAAAGGCTGTAATTTTAACAAGCCAAGGTCTCTGTGTCACTCCTAACGATTTTAACTTCTACACAGTGCTAGCTGCCACCACAGAATACTTTTTGAAGATGTAGTTAATGATGAAGGCTTATCTACTTAGTTATCCTGCAATTACATCAAACATTCTAGCTAGATGTAAGAATCTCAGAGATCTTTCTCTTCACATGTGACCCACTAAAAGGATGCTGTCAGGCGGATTTATACCCTTAGTTTGAGGTTACTGAAAGAATGTTTGTACTCAATATTAATTGAAACATTTCTATCGACTGTCTAAGTGAAATGTCAATAATTTGGGTTTCCTTCTTAGATGCAAATATTCTCGCCCTACAGTGCTTATAACATAACACAGTATAGCGTTACGTCAGGCTGTTAGATCAGAACATGAAATGAAGCGGAAACCAAACAGAAATTCCCAAATTCTCATAGTCCTAACTAAAGATTTACCTTACTTGATTGCAATCATTTTTAGTACTGTTAATTACAGACAGAATTTTAACCTGACAACATCCTTCTAAGTAAGTCAGACTCACACGTGCAAAAGCCTAAGCTCTGTATTGTAAGAATGTGTGTGAACATGTGAAAGACACAACTAGGTGTGTACAAGCCTCTTCTAAAAGTGACTAGAAGCCCCAGCAGCAATGATACTCACGTTGGCATTGTCCCCAGGACAATCGGGCCCAGCCCCAGCAGCAGTCAATTCTACTTCCAAACTGACACAGTCCTGTGGAGGAGACTATTTGTCTGGGCCACCTGAACAAGACAGTTCAAAAAAGTCTGGTGAAACATTTTGAAAGTAGATAAAATTACTCCAGATTTAAAAAAAAAAAAAAAAAGGACCAGCACAAACTTTTCCTGCATGGAGATATATATCCTTTTTTTTGAAAATGGTAACTGCTCTAAGCTGAGTCTATGATATTTCTATAATTCATACTGTGGTCAGTTCAGAAAAATGTAAATGACTATAGGCAAAGAGGGGAAAAGATAATTAGGGTAACGTTGTAAAGTCTTAAAAAACAGACATGCTTTGCAATGTGCTCACTGCTGCCACTCCCAGGCTGGCACTGAATAATTTCAGAAGTCTGAAACACAGAATTAATTTATAACGCGAAATAAACCACCATCATAAAGCCTCAGCATTGGTTTATTTCACAACGTATGGCCAAATTGTCTCAGCGAAACATAAAAGGGGAAAAAAAACAAAACAAAAGCTTCCTGAACTGTTAAACAGAAACGAAATACAGAGGGAGAGCTGTAGTCTTCCCTTGTTCCAAGGAAAAGACATCAGAGTCTCAAGCAATTGCAAAGTATTGACAGAAATTGTTAGTTTTTTTAATGACAAGCTGAAATAACGTGAACACTGCGTTTCACCAAATCCTAAAAAGAAATCCTTGCAGAGGGGATCGCGCTGGCTGATTTACACGCGCACAGAACTGTTGCGTTGGGCAGTCCGCTCCTCGCAGCATCCGTGCAGCGTTCGCCAAGTTGCGCTCGCTACACCTGACACGGCTCAGCGCGGCCCACGGGGCACACACTTTCCAAGCGTTCATTTTCACCTTGCTTCATGTTAAAACTTGAGTTGCAATCTTCGCCGTGTTGTTTCACGTGCCTCGCGGCGTCAATACACTAATCTTATTTTTACAGCACGCAAAGTGCTTTGTTTTTTATTCTCGCAGGACGCAACCCTGGCACAGCAATAAACTTTTTATACCTTAGCCCCTCTTTTGGCTGTCGATCAAGGCGCGGGCGGGGGTACAGGGCCGAGCGACTCCGGCCCCGG